CCACAGTCCGAGCAACGGGAGTACAGTACATGTTGAGATGGGTAAATTGCATCAAATCAGATCCAAAGGGGGGGGGGGGGGGGCTTTTTGAGTGCAGAGTTTTCCTCGTCCGCCCAAGGCAATCGCATGATTTCTAATGGTCGGGGCGAATCTCAGCACGTAAAACCTCATGTAATGGAGAGTTTTGATTGTCTAATCATAACCGCAAGCTACGGTCTCCTTGTGGATAACTACCTACTGTATACCTAGGCGATGTGAAAGTAGCACGAGTGTTACCTATGTGTTCTTTAGATGCCAAAAGGAGCCGTCCTCGTACCCGAACTTGAATCGGCGTCGGACAAGGTCGATCCATGCGGTAGATCTACTAGTCGATATATTGCACTGTCCTCGTAGCTACGAAAGACGCTTCTCCCTTTCCCCTTTTGGTTCTAGTCTGCTCCCACATCAAATCTAGGCAGCTTCCATTAACTTAGCGCCTGCAACATGTTGTGTCAATCTCCCGTCTGCAAATGAGTAAAAAAACAACATCGCATTGGGGCGGGGGCACACTACGACCAGATGTCAACAAGCAAGCAGCCATGTACCGCTTGGTTCAAATGCTCTCGTTGTAGTTGTACCACTACCCTCCAGCCCAAAACAGACAACCCGCAGTATCCCGTCTCGGGCGAGATGGAGATCAATCGCACTCCAAAGTCACTTCTAAGTAGCAACCGCTTTTGTTGCTACTCGAACCTTGAATCTACCTGAGTAACCTTTCCATCGCAGCCAAGCTCGCTATCCGTCCAATGACCCTTTTTGATCGCCCAAGGCTCACACAGATATCACTTTGAACCGAGGCGGTATGTAACTATGTACCATGTAGACCTCAGGAACACGCCGATCGGCTTGGGCTCGGTGGAGTTCAAGGTCTTCCCGCCACGGAGACAAAGATAAAGGCAGAGAACTGGGCATCATCTTGGTGAAAGCAGTAGCTCTCAGGTCCGGACTTGTATCATTGAGGAAATGCATGCTACTCCATCACAGCCCCCAAATGTTTCCACTTTTCGGGAACTGCCACCCCCATGGACGTACCCCAAATCAGTCTGGAGACGGGGATGTCCACCTCGGATCACTTCACTCCAGATAGACCGAATGATCGGAAAGTGCCCGAACGCAAAGACGATTTTTCGGGGTGGTATGCGTCCAGCCCGCGGCCGCTTTTCAAATGTGGATGGCTTCAATGTCACACAGATTCGGTATGTACTTTCATGTCCATCATCTACATTCCCGACTTCGTATCCTAATCCCGGCGAAAAAAGATCACCATCCATGACCACGCCATTTGACTTTTGGTACCAACGCCCCTTTTCTCTCCCCTTGCCCTCCTTTTCTCACCCTCAGACGCATGTAATTGCGGGGTGCAGAGGCCAGAGGGGCCCTTGCTACCTGCCACTTCATCATGGCGCCGGTTGAACTTCCCTTCTTCCCCCGCCAGACCTGAGCTTCGTATCGCTCGAATCCACTGCACTGACGGCGGTCATTTCTGAAAAGCGTGTTTCCGGGACTTTGTATCCCCGAATGGCGCGTTTCCAGATCAACAACATCAACATCCCCCTCTTTTACCCCCCCCTTGTATCTCGGCGCTCAAAGCGTGATGCTGTTTCGCATGAGTCTGGGCTTGCATTTCCATGCTCGGAGTACCACAGACCGACCCCACTATCATCAAGTTGAAGAAGATAGCTCTAGTCCTCGACTGCCTACTGCTCAGTGCTCAGTGCCTAGTGCGTCTTTTTGTTGCTCGTGTAGATGCACTAGTAAGGTACAGGCATCAGCCACGAAAAGTTGGCGCATAGTTGACATGCATGAGAGTATCCCAGCAGCACTTGAAATTCATAGGTGGAAGCCCCTCTCGAGACCTACTTTGGCAGTGATAAATATACCATGAATTGAAAGCTCTTTCCATTCTGAGATTGAAGCTGTCTCTATCGACGATTGATATGCGAGGGATGTGGATGAGTGATCTAATAACCACCATGCTATCTATCCGCTGCTACTGGACCGAAAGGCTGCAGTCCCGCCCTATCTCGCAATCAAGTGGTGAAAGAATACAGCACTGAAGTCCTTGTCTAGAGCTTCATCCTCAGGTGGGACTCTTTAGTAAACTCAAGTATAACCTAGACAATGCGACGCAAACCCCCCCCCCCCCCCCCCCCCCAAAAAATCATCCGACGCTCCGGTCCGTCAACGTTCTTATTCTTCTGAATACCATGTCAGAAGCTACGATCACAGCCCTGCACTACTCGCCAATCGCATCAGTCCATCGACCCAGCCTGTATCGCTGTGAAACCAAACACAACACTGCAGACATGGACGTCCAAGCTCTTGAGCAAAAGTCAATTCTGTGTTCAATAAGGTTCAAATGTTGCAATTCACACCTCTCTTACTTGCCTCTCTGCCTCACCGTGAGCAGGTAGAGGTACATAAAAGCCACCTCGCTCGGGCAATGGAGCTGCCACTGTCTGCGTCGTAGCGCCACCGCAGGGTTGTAAGTAACATTTGTAGAGGAGGCAAACTTTGTTGGGATGAGGATATGCAGCCGGTGAAAGTCATCTTGTCGACGGGGCCAAGGTACATCACTCTCTCGATAACGCTAGCCCTTGTAGTTTGTACGGACTGCTCGTGCGACTCCCGGCCTCCTCCAAGCTGATCTTCTGTAGTAGGTCCGCAGACTCAGAAAGCGGGGAATATCGATTGACGCAGGCTGTGTAGACTGGAAGTTTCCATGGTGTAACTTAGGTAGCGGATTTACAAGGTCTTTTTTCCAAGGGTCGAAACGGATCGGCTTGGTGCAACACTTACTAGTCTGATGGACGAGGCTTGCGGCATTTTGCCCCCGCCACTTTGGCAGCAGTTGAGTGTCCAATTCTTTGGGCTTTTCGGGCTGTACATGCTTGGTGGTTGACGTGTAACTGCATGTGTGTGTGCAAAGAGATAGGCAGGAGACTGCAAAGGTGATGGGGGTGCTTCGGACGACATAAGCTCCACTACATTACGAGCACAGTGATCTTGTTTGTTTATAACTATGAAAAGAGATTTGAACAACGAGACGGCGTCTTCATCCTCACCTGAGGCAAACAAGTAGTGCATGTCCGAGTGTACGACAGGCAATCTTGCACGGTACAGCTGCTCTTCACTCACATGGGGTATACTTACCTGCATCGAAGCTGCGAAAAAGAAAAGGGTGTTACCCTCTGAGATAATACTCGAATATTCACAGTTGTTCAGAAACGTTCCGGTCGAGTGGAGGATTCACATCAAGATTTCAAACTTGAATTCTCACTTCACCACAGAGGCTCAAAGAGGCTGATGAGATTGCCTTTGACCCGATATGGCTTTGTGATGCCATCCGTCGCTTTTAGTGTGGAGTGTGCGTTGTCTATGATATTCTTGTATCGTATTCGAACACGAGACGACAGAAGATGACATTCGGCACAGATCCGCGTCCGGGACACCACGAGAAGTAAGCCCTGTGCACGAGTCTTTGTACTCGCTGACGGTTTCACAGATGATGGTCTTTTGGTGAAATGCTTGGATCTGTGCCCAAGATGATATTCTCACTGAAGTTGACAACGTGGATTGATAGCATGGTAGCCTTATCATGATTCGACGAATAGTTTCACGGAGTCTTGATGATGCCTCCGTGGATCCTGCCAGACCCTACCAGATTCGCGCATAATAATCTAGGGCCTGAAGACGAGAACCTCTGAAGTCCGTCCTGACTCGCGATCTGCGTGGAACCTCCTTGTCGAAAAAACCGCAAAAGTCTGCGAGCACTGCAGCTTGAAATTTTCCGTTCTCGACAGGCTCTCTGATCAGGGACTATTCCACCGAGGCTTCACCTTGAGGTCCACGTCTGCACGATCAGAGCCTGCGTCGTCTTGTGCAGTGTGTTCAATATGTTCAAAAGGAGCATGAAGACCATTACAGTCCGCAACCCTCATTGCCGATGTCCCGAGGTCTCATTCAAGTTCAGGTATCAACTCGGGAATCACTCTGAATAAAGGCAGGTGCTCGGTGCAGGACACATTCTTCGCTTTCATTGAGTAGTGGGAGTTCTTCCATAATGTGTAGACTGTCAACCCGACCGCCGCTGAATTGAAGAATCTCGGATTATGGTATGCCATGAATGTCTCGCAATCTTGAGGGCAGTCCACATGTTCAGGCCCTTTCCCTTGTTGTGATGATACTAGCAAACTGAAGATGCCTGGAGATCGACAAGGCGTTCAAGACTTGCAACACATCAGATCAATCAGGCTCCTTCTTGATGCCAGTATACAGCTGGAGCGAGATAGGTTTGGCAGCGCAGAAGATCAATCAAGACTCAAACAAGAACGAGTAAAGTGTGATGTGAGGCTTCACACAGGGCATAAATAGTTCGACCCTTCAGACCAGTCAAGCTGGAAAATCTTGTCGTTGACTCAGGGGGGGGGGGAGGAGATGACGTTCTGATTATGAGGAGAAGAAGACGACGACGGCTCTCTGTATCTGATTAAGAGATAAGAGTGAGTTGGAAGCAAGAACAGTGACCCATATGTAACCTGGCAATAATGATGGCTAGGCTTAAGACTTCACTCTCGGGGTCAAAATCGATGGGTATATCCACGGGAGTGGGACATGGCGAACGTAATCTCGAAACTAAGAGAGATCCTGGAAAGTTGGGATGTCTTAAAAGGTGAAAATCAAGCACTGTCTCAAGCCAGTGTCTTTTTTCTGATGATTTCGCGGGGTTATCGCACGGCACATGACGTATAGTTGGTTTGTTCCAAGTCGAAGGGCAACAGATGTGCTCTCAGAAAGCCAAGCCAGGCCAAATGTGAGGTCATATATCGTGTTCCAACTGACATACGACGAGATTAAGGCCTTATCGCTGGAAGAATCGATCAAGAGAGGAGACAAAGTGGGACTGCAATATAAGCGAATGCAAAACTGGCTTGAAGACTGTCATTTTCAGTCAGTCCACAATGCACTGCGAAGCAGCGACGGGACTCAGTCTGGGAATTGAATTTGCATATTGTAAGCTGACCTTGCCACGTTTTTCACGTCATAGATCATCTGTATGGGACAATGTAGGACAGGATAGTGCAAATACACTAGTAGGCAGCTTGCGAGGAGTCCGTCAGGACAACAGAATGGGCCCAGGGTCGGTTCAGCTCGGCACCCCTTCAGCGGGCCATGTGCCCGAGGATATGATGTACAGCTTCTCAAATGCTCGAATCGGTCTGATGGTGGGCATCGGTGGCTGAGCTCTAAGCCATGAGCAACACACTCGCCTTGATGACGTGGTAATCGACATTACTCACAACGGACAATGTGGAGTGATTCGGCACGACTTTGGCAAAATGATAGAAAGCCAAGGCTTTTACAGTAGGGGGTTTTTTTCTCGATTAGCTCCCTATCCTTCTTTATGCAGCAATCAACAGCCTTCAGGCCTAGTATGTGATAGTGGGTCATTAACTTGAGGGGGGAATCCGTCAGGCTACCTAATCAAGCTAAGATCACGACGACAGAAGATATTGATGATATACAGCTACGATAGGGGAAGCTATGTAATGTGAGAGAGGGATAAGGAGTGAGATGACTACTGAGGAAAGATTCTACCTAAGCTATAGTGAGCGTGAGGCAACCGCTTATATCGCCGGATTTCGACCTGCGATTCAAAATCAACTAACAAGGTTGTCCTCCTCATCAGCGTGAAGACGTCCACGACTGGCAAGAGGATAAGGACAACGAATATTGTTCCGTGTTCAACGGAGGAACGCCTCCATAGACGTCTTGAACGGTATGAGTGTGAGGGCTCGGGCTCTGTTATTCATTCCTTGTCGTCATTGAACTCCTTTCGCATACTATATCCACAATCTTCTGTTCCTCTTCCCCCCCCCCCCCCCCCCCCCCCCAAAATGTACGAAATAGCCCTGCCCTTTGCATTCTCGGCCCATCGATTGCCAGGGACGAATGATCTCTGTAATTAGAAAGAGGAATCATTATCAAAAATCAGGCTGGGCGTCTTACAATTTGCCACTGCGTTGACTTGCCAGGTATACCTGATGTGGAAGTTGCAAAACATCCTCCCTATTGAGTGGTTGAGTAACATCCAAATCAAGAACAAACCATTTTTTGAGACGCTTCGATGAGTCGAAATCAGCGGGAATATGGACGTGGTCGTATCCTGCCGAGTGAAGTGTAGCATTGAATGGACAATTGAGGATATCTTCGCAAAAGGATTCCCTAACTTTGACATGACGCCGCTGGGGGGGGCAGCCGTCTAGATCGGTTAACACAAGCATAGATAGCTATTCTGGCGGGATGAGGGTCCATATCTACTGTGACTAATCGCAAGACGAGTAGCGCGGTTTTGATGTGATACTCAATAAGTGCTCGACTCCAATTTGAAGCGAGGATCAAGCAATCATGGCTCGATGCAAGGTCAGCTGTCCCAAGTCGGATCATTGGCGTTTATCAATCAAGAAGCTCACAACAGGGACGTTACTGTACATCGGCCACTCCAAGAGTTCGCTCAACCCACAAGGTTCAGTCCGAGTGTTTTGATCGCCTCGCCAATTCGACCAAGGCAAACCCAGGCACAGATTTACAGCAGCACTGGGTCGGTCTCAACAGCCAGATCTACTCTATGGCTTTCCTACGAGGCTCGGCCGTCGTCTCTGGCAGTCAGATTGAACACAATTTCCCTAGGACACGCCTCCGGTCGATTACCCTTCGCTGTATGGGATCTCGATACGCATCAGTGAACCCTTCGGTCTTTGCGCAGAAATATGGTCTCCACAAGGTAGACAAAGGAGGCAACTTATTGTCTGGATATGATGATCGGCATGCTTCCGAGAGGTCAACTCAATAGTGACCTCAAAAGCTCCAGCTCTACTCACGACGGGTCTTGCTGTCCCACCGGGCACGCTCGAAATAATGAGCGACGTAGCCCTCTGGCATTTCCTCACTATCTTCATGAACTTCCTGTCAAGCCGGGCTGCATGTGCATCTATGAATCTATCGAGATATCCGACCCCTCTACAGGAAACTATATCATCAGCCAGTCAGCCCTGGATAGAGTATGGATCGTGTTCAGAGGAGAAAAAGCGGGACTACGATAAGCTCGGGTGGAGTCACGATGGACTCCCACTTCTTTTTTTGGGGCGAGCTGGGCTGGAGCCACTTTGAGTCTCACACCGCGACAGCCCACCTCCCGCCCTGACATTCCTTGGTCCGAACGAGTTTCATTACGCATCCAACAAGCTCAGCCGGTGCCATCCACGGTCGTTCCGGAGGATCCAAGGTTGGCATTCATTTTTCCCCGAGCGGACCACCTTCTTTTCGGTTGTCTCTGGGGTTGGGTTGTTTACCATCCACCGTCATTCTCTCCATGTCGCAAACGCAGCCGCCGCCCGCGTTAAATGACCTCGAAAAAGAACTGGGGTGCTCGGTAAGTGATCACCATCTGGGGATCTCAGATCTGGAATCCTTCTTCCAGATCTCCCCGTTTTTCTTCCATGAACACATTCTCCAGCGCATTCCTCTCCCTCTCGGCTACCCCTCTGCATAATCGTCATCACTCATATTGTGCTTCTGCGTAGATCTGTACGGAGCTACTCTACCAACCACTGACGCTGCTGGACTGTCTGCACACCTTTTGCGGATCATGCTTGAAAGAATGGTTTGCAGCGCAGGGCTCACGGCGCCGCTCCTCGTCAGACACTTCCCCTCGGTTCACATGTCCATCATGCCGTGCAGAAGTCCTACGCACGCGCACAAATGCGACGGTAACGACGTTACTGGACATGGTGCTGAAGGCGCATCCCGACCGTGCCCGATCTGAAGCCGAAAAGGAAGAAATTGCAACCCGCTACACTCCAGGAGACTCTGTATTTCCATCCCGAAGGAATCCTCCCGGCAGCGAGGAGGATGAGGCGGACCAACGGCTATTACAGCAGGTCCAAGAGATGAGTGTTCGGGAGAGTCGGTCACATGCCCGGAGAGAAGCGCGTCGGGCAGCTGGGCATTCGGGGAGAAACCGCGAAGGGAGCAGCCATCGTGAGCGCTCAGGAGATGAAACAAGGACAAGGCGCCGACGAGGTGGAGAATCGGGGCATTCTCATGATGAAAATAATCATGGACGGCGCATCCAGCACCAGTCGAGCTTGCGGTCGATTATCAGCTTGACCGCAGACGCAGAGGCTATACAGGAGCAAATTATACGGCAGATTCTAGATCAAGGTTTTCTTGACGATGTTGATTTCGACACTTTGACCGCGGCACAGGAGGAAGAATTGAGTGAGCGGATTGCAGATGCCTATCGTCGGGGTCAACTACAATATCCACGCTATCCTGAGGATTCGAGTCCCCGACGATCTGCCGAGGATGGAGAGCGTGCTCGCTCACGATCGCAATCCGTGCAGCGGCCGAGTGAGAATACTACTACTTCGAATTCCACTATCACTACTATGGCTGCTGTGGCTTCCACTGCTCCCTCACCGTCGCCATCGGCTCGTGACAGCGCGGACAGGCGGCCCCCCGCAACTAGACCGCATTTGTTTGATCCACCGACGTCACGGCCGAGGTCAAATCGCCAACGAAGAAACTCTGAACACACCGAAAGTCGTCGTCGGGCATCCCCCATCCGTGTCTACGAGGCCTCTAATTCCGAGGATAATCTACGGCCGGCTGTTCGATCCTCCAGTGACATGACTGCTGAGCGAATACACAGCGCGCACGCGACACGAGCAAGAGCCGAGGCGCCTGGATTGCGTTCGCGGCGTGCAACAGATTCAGAACATGGCATATCCGATGACTTGGTGAGCGGAGGAAGGGAGCGCAACGCGTCGTCTAGTACGAACATCAGTCAGCCTGAGACGGTCTCGGTGTCTACCCCAGACTCACCGGCGGGAGAGCACCTGGCACCTTTGGTATCTTCACCGCGCGTTCCACCCAGGTCAGAAAGGCGTCCTCGGTCCTCTCTTTGGAATGCGCAGGCGCCTTCTGGCGCTCAGTACCTGGAGCCGTCAATCTCCTGTGATCGTTGTGGCACCTCGGATATTCAGTACGACGTGCACAAGAAATGCTCGAAATGCAAAGACCCCTCCTTCCACCTTTGCTTGCGATGTTATCGCACAGATGGAGATTATCCCTATGGGGACTCGTCTCGGGTGAGTGGGTTCGACCCCGCGGCCAAAGCAATGTACGAGCGAATCCAGGCATCACCGAATCACCGTCCGGCGAGAATGCGCCAAACCGGTCACATAATGCGCGCGTTCAAGTACGACCGGCCTTCGGAAAGTGCACAAGTCGTGATCAATGGGGAGAGAAAGATTACCAACGACAACCCCGCGCTACGTCTGATATCCGGCCTATTCTGTGACATCTGCCAGTCTCCAGCCAATGATTGCTTCTGGAAATGCAGTCGATGCAACGAAGGAGATTGGGGCTTCTGCAATCGTTGTGTCAATCAGGGGAGGTGCTGTACGCACCCTCTCTTACCTCTTCGGCGCGTGGTTGGGGCTCCAAAGGCTTCGGCGACTAGTACTCCCGCGGACTCCATCACTCTTTCACGATCCAACACCGAAGTCTTCAAGACGCTCTCCTTCTCCACCAACTGCGACATTTGCACGTACCCAATCCCTGCATCCGTAACCCGATTCCACTGCCTGAAATGCAACGAGGGCGACTATGACGTCTGCACCAACTGTTATCTGAAACTGGTGGCCACTTCCAAGATCAGCAAGGAAAATGGGCATAATGGTTGGCGCCGCTGTCTGTCCTCCCACCGCATGATCGTTGTTGGCTTCGAGGACCGAGACGATGGCCAACGGCGTGTGATCGTCAGGGACCGGGTCGGCGGTAACGCCCTCCAAGAGGAGCACATAGCTGCACAATCGCCACCGAGTTCGTCAGCCGGCAGCAGTCCCGTCGCCTCCGCCGACAGGATAAACGGCTACTGGAGCTGGAAAGAAGGCTCCGAACGCCGGAAAAAAGCATCTCGTCTTCGAGGTTCATTTTCCCATCCTAGCGGTGGTGGGAACGCAGGCCATTCTCATGCTCAGCCATCCAGCACCCCGGACTCGAGTTCTGGAAACAATTCGCCCTCACTGCAGCATGGGGCCATATTCCGACGCTTCCCACCTGACGGCGGCATGGGCCTCGTGGTCCAGGCGAGATGGTCCTATTTCCCTGGAGAAGAGGACGAAGATGAATTGTTTTTCCCTCGTGGTGCGGAAATTAAAGAAGTTGACGATGTGAATGATGAGTGGTTTTGGGGAAGTTATGCTGGACGGACGGGTTTATTCCCCGGTACGCATGTCACTGTTGTGGGAGAAATCAAGTGAAAAGGCACGGGAGGGCCGGGCTTGATTAGGGTCTTTTGGGGTCAAAGAGCCAGAGATCCATGGGTTGGCTCGCGGGCGTTTCTGAAGCTTACGGGTTGGACTTGGGTTTTGTATCTGGTTCTGGGCCGATGTTCCATTTGCGGGTGAATTTTATGATGATCATGATCTATGGGAGGAGGGAAGACATGATGAACACGAATAATGCCATTCAACCAGATTCTTGGAAGTATCTTCTGTTCCCGGCGTGTGTTGAATTTTCCTTATGCCTTCCAAGAAACGTTCAGGTCTAGGTAGATTACCTAATCGATTGGTCCCGTCTACGGGCAGATGCCCGTGAATACATGATTCAGTACCTCGTGGAAAGTCGCGGGCCATGAATGGTGAGACTTCGAAACTCACGTAGTCTCGTCGAAATCGTGTCATGAAGTGATAGGTACATGCAGAGGCACTGTCTCATGAGTACATAGAATACAAGGTGCTATAGAATCGGGTTGTGGTAATTTGCCCCAGTGGAAATCTTCTGTCCCAATCGTTAAGCATACAGGGACCTCGCGAACCTGCGGGTCCCAAATAAAGTCGTAAAAAGCCCATAAGAGTAGAGGCGTTCCAAAGTCCTCCGACATCCACCCAAGCAGTTGTTAGTAGTCCTCACCCCAGCAACGCAACCATCAACCGCTTGTAATCACCAGATGTCTCCCCTTGCACTCTATCGATCAAATCCCGGCCATATCGGTGATGATAAGCCCTCTTGACCTGATCCTTGTGCTGCCGATCCCAATGCGCGCGAACAACCCGGATAACCAACTTTTCATCCTTGGTGCCCATCCCCGCCATACATTCTTCCAGGAGAATCGCGTCGCGCATCGCAGGATTTGTCGCGGTGCGCAGCATATGCAACAGCGCATCTTCCATGTGGCCCGCAAATTCCTTCTCGATGTGCTTCTCGAGGGAAGCGTGATAGCGCGCTTCAAAGGCACGACTGATCTCGCGCAACTCGGCATTGGAGGAGCGGGCGAAGATGCCGCAGACCTCGGTGACGTTGTTGACCATGCGGGCTGCAGTGGAGTCGTGGATGGTGCGTACTTCGGCTTCGATGGATTGTGGGTTCAAGGACACAGAGTCTTCGTGGCGGGTGGCGCGGAGCACCATTTTGAAAAGTTCGGCTGTTTTGAAGGAGAGGTCGTCTTCGACGTCCTTGGCCAACGAGTGACCGTAGGTGCGTTCATAGAGGGCCTGGATGGCTTGGAGGTCGGCATTGGATCGGCCCAGGAGAACGTCATTCAGGAGCCATTCTTTAGTGCCCATGCCCTTGACGGCTTCGCGAACGCAAGTCACGTCGTGCATGAGCGGTCCCTCGATGACGGCCAACAGACCTTGTTCGAAGTACCCGCTTGTTTCCGATTTGACGTCCTTGAACAGATCGCGGCCGATGTGCTGGGAGTATGTGGCGCGTACACCGGCCATCTGGAGAGGGTCCAGTCGCGAGAGGACTTGGATAAGTGCCTTCTCGTCCGTACCAAAGCCCTTCATGGCCTTGCGGAGAGCGTCGGCCTCCGCACGAAAGTCGCCCGGTGCAACTTGTCCCGGTACATAGCCAAGTGAAGGCGGCGCCGGGTATGCGTTGGAAGCGGGAGCGCCCCCTGGATAACCTCCGTGCATGGGAGGTGGCCCTGGTGGGAGGGCATGACCCTGCGGAGGAGGGTAGTGTTGACCCGGCGGGGGATGGCCGTATTGCTGGGGTGGTTGCGGCGAATGAGTGGGAGGTGGATATGCGCCGTGCGGTGGTGGAGGGCCCCCGTAGTATCCTTGGCCCGGCTGGCCTTGAGGAGGATAGGAAAGTTGGTGACCGTAGCCAGATTGGGGTGGAGGAGCGCCCCCGGGAGGCCCGTATTGTTGTTGAGGAAAGGGAGGTTGCTGATAGCCCTGCGGAGGAGGAGGAGGGGGTCCTCCAGAAGGAGGATAACCGTATGGAGGTTGTTCTGTATCTCACAAGTTAGTCTTTCATCTACTCGGTCGCTCCTCGCGGGGCCCTGGGCAAGAGTCAACACTGCACGTTGAGCAATGATCACTTTCTTGCGCACGACTGGAGGGGACTCCGGGGAGGCGGGAGACTAGTGTACAAAGCTCACGATGAGGTGGATACTGATAGGACATGATGGAGGAAAATGAACCTTCACTGTGGATTCAGACGGGGATCGCTGGTGAAATTGGAAAGATCAAAAAATCAACCCCAAGACGACAAAGTGGGATGGACGAGGGGTATTTCAAGGAAACAGCTACGCTGCGTCGCACCAGCACCCCACGAGCCGCCCGAGCCCGCTCCGGAAAGTCTTGGAGGCTTGCTCGTTCGTATCTCCCCTTCTCTCACGGACTTTCAGTCCCTTCGTATTGATCCCACAAAGCGTAAGATGTGGCGCAGTCGTCATCGTTCCGTGGGGCCGCGGCACTTGGTGGGCTTGGCAACTGTTTGGCTGGAGTGTTGGAGTGCACAGCCCTGCGGAAAGAGTGGGGGCCGTTCAGGCTGAGCTCACGTCATCATGCGGCTGCCTTGCAGATGTGGATGACTGTGACTTGGACCTTTTGGAGGTATCACATAAGAAGCGGGCTCCATGATAGATCGTGGTGTCGATCCAGATGCCCAAGCGCAAGTAAGTTCATAAAGGTGACCGCGAGGTCGATGCCATTCTTAAGATGATAGTATATATGTAGCGTCTGTCAAGCCCCCATGCTCAACAGCAAGAAGATTGGAAGAGAAAAGGTGAATCAGAAGAACGAAAGACAAACAACGAAGAGACATGGACATTAATTACAATCCAGTAGAGCCATTTGGAAGATCATGTGTAGGGAATCAAAAGTAAGACGCAAGATAGGAAAAATTCGAAATTGCCGGCTGGTCCACCTGCATCGGGGGAGAAAACCATATACCAGCCCCGATCAACATCATGGCCATGAGGGACAGTCGTATAAACATGCAATTCGTTCATCAAATCAAAAGAAAGGGGAAATCATGCCTCATCATTCATGGATCGAAGGAGAAGAGAGGGTATCGGTTTGTATTATGTTGGCTGTTTTCACACGCTTGCGGTGCGCCGCTTCTGACTCGGTTTCTGAGCATAAGCGATAAGCATTCGGAATCCGGTTCCGCGCTTCTGACACTCGCGGAGGACCTTGCGGTCATTCCAAACGCTGCGGTCGTTGGCCTCAAGGTGATGAAGAGCCGGCTCTTCATAACACTTTGTATACCACCAGCGACCAACGCGAGCCACGATCTTAGCAATAGACTCGTCGTTCGCTGCAGAGGGGGAAGGGTCGGACAGGAGATCTCCGAGAGAAGGGTTGTCCTCCGATGCCAAAGACGCATTCATCGGACTGGAGGCAGAGGCTCCGGCGGGCTGGGTAGAGGCCGTCGTCGCGGTAGTGGCGGCAGATGCCGACATGGACTTGTCAGAGGAAGATGTTGTTGACCCAGACGACCGGACTACCATGCCAGCAACAGGGATGCTAACCATGCACCGACGCAGATTATCAAATCCTTGTGTGCCGAGGAGTCGCTGAACACTGTCACTCGCCGGCTTGAGACTGATTGCAGAATCCGTCAGGTAGGTCGTCTCCTTTAGGCGTCGGATGGCCTTCCGAGTGCGAGCTCCCACATTGACCAGATCTCGGTCGAGAAGACTCATCTCGAGATACCCGCCGGAGCGTAGCACACGACGACATTCCTGGATGATGTTGCTCTGCACAGCCTCCGAGCTCGCAGCGGGGAATCGCAGGACAGCGACGGTGAAATAGTCCTTGGGGAAGGGCAATGGATTCTGCAGTCCTGCATGGTAAACAGTGTGGTGGTTCGCTGGAGGTTGCCATGCAGCCGGATGAGGAGTAGCCGTCGAGACAGGCCGTCCACTGAGGCTGTAAACCTCGGCATCTGGGTATGTCAGAGAGCAATAGAAAGACCAGTCGTCGTTACCCAGTCCATCAATCACGAGGATCCTTCCGTGAGTGCCAGACTTGACGTGATTATGTGCCGGGCTGAACAGCACCCGCCCAAAGGACAGCCATCGACTGGTCATAAGGGATGCCGATCGCATGTTGATGTGAGTTACAGCGTCCCATTCGCGCTCGGAGCAACCCGGGAATTCTCCTCGGCCATGCCTTCTGGAGTTGGGAGCATGTGTGGCGGCAAGCGACTGAAGGAAATTAGATTGTTGCTCATGAACCGGGTCCGGGGGAGGTCGAGTAGGGTGCTGCACCGGGCTGTACATGACCTCGGGATCACCATAGCTGGCAATGAGATTGCTGTAGGATGCCTGGGTCGATGGTGCTAGGGGTGGCTCCAGAGCTGAGACAATTGTCGAACGACGTACATAAGGTGACTCCTGCCCGTCAGGTGTGGTGGGACAGTCTTCGATTGAGGCAGGTCGTGGTTGATCAGACAACATGCGGTTCAGTCCGTCCTGTAGAGCCTTGCTAGCGGAGGTCGCCATCTCAAATCGGTCACTCTCTTCATTCGTCGCAGGCTCTTTCGGAGCCGGCGTTTCTGGTGAAAGCACATGATCGATAAGATCGTCATACTCGTTCCAAATCTCATCCTCTGTCGGTGCGGTTCCCGGTCGAGGGAGAACAGCTGTGACAGCTGCGGTAGCCTCCGAGCTCGCCGACGAGACTGACCCCTTGTGAGGGGAGAATTGAAGAAGCTCGCCAGCAACAAAAGGACCGGCAAGAAATTCTAAAGCACTCACAGCCTCTGGAGCACTGAAAGCTGGGTTGAATCCATGGCCCCATTCGCCTGGCTTGCTTTGATTATCAGTCCATGGAAGTCCTCCGAGCGTATCGTGACCATATGAGGGTTCGACGACTGGAGCCATCACAGAAGGTGACTCAGCAACGCTGAATGGCCGAGAGAAGGAATGAATGCCCGGCATGTGATGTCGATCTCGCCTAGACACTACTTGCGGAATTCGGCCAACCGAAGCCAGCCGCTGCGGTCTTCGTGATCTGTGACCGTCTTCAAATTGAGGTATATTCTCACTGCCAGGTCCCATTGTAGTCTTTGGGGTAAAATTGCAGAATCGCTCAGTCTCACCACGAATCAAAGGGGGCGGCTGCAGCTGAGTCGAATCGGCCTTTTTCTGGAGGTCCAAGTTGGGTGACGTCTGAAGGGCAACATCGTACCTCTCCTCCTCTGTGGGGGGAGAATTCTCTATCCGGCCAATTATATCATCAATCTCGTCAGAGTCTGTGTCTACTAAAGCGTAGTGAGCAACAGGGCGGCGGTTCAGCGCTGGCGAAATTGCAGCGTGCAAGGAAGCTGTTTGCGACGCAGTGGAAACTTGAGGCTCCACGACAACACTCGATTCGTTGACACGGCCCCTTTGAAACAAGTTCCAACGTGAAGTCTTCTCTTTTCTGTTCTCGATTGGTTCACTCCTCACAGCCTTCGGGGGCTGCTCGGATGCAGCGGGCGCGGGCTTCAGTCTTGGCAAGATGAGGGTGTTGGAAGTGTTGCCCGACAGTGAAGTGCTGGTTGTCGCGGCACTAGGAAGGGAGTAGAAACCAGAAGAATTGGTGCCCTTGGGAACGGGCATACGAGATCGTGATGTGCGCCGCTCAGAGGACGGTTGAGTCTTCAAAGGAGCCCTAGTCTTGTTTGCAGACGTGGCATTCTTCGTCCGGGCAAATGAGCCCGGGTCACTGGTTGTCCCAGTGGATGTCGCTAAAGACTCTGTCGATTGGACGGTAGATGGAGTGAGTGTCGCGAGCCGGGGTAGATTGGACGATGTGACGCTCATACTGCTAATACTTTGTTCGCTCACAGTTCGGGACAAGGATGCCCCATCCATACCCCCACCATTGATGATAACAGGCTCCAGGCGACTGGACAAGAAATCATCTAGATCAAGGTCCGGTCGACTTGAAGATGTGCTTCCTTTTCGGCTTGTGGCCGACTGAGATGTGCTTCGATTGGTACTGGTTGATCGAGCCCGTGTTCCACTGGCACCGGAGCTTGGGTGGCGGCCACGTTGAGAAGAATATCTCCCATATCCTTCATGACCAGTTCCTGCAGCCGGGCCTTTTCTTATCGCTCGCGTCTTGTCCTCGGAGGTCACTTCGGAGTTAGTTCTAGTTTTCCGCGAGAAGAAACCGAATCGCTTGGGAGCGCTCGATGCATTGGCGTCGGTACCTTCAAGGGGAGGTTCTTTCGTCAAGGTTTTTGGTGATTTCCGGGCCAGAATTTGGGGATTGATCTCGCGAGAGGGGAGCCCGGAGAGATTTCCAGTAGAAAGGAGCGATTCCGTGGAGGGCAATGTAGACTGGGATAAAGCACTCAGATGTGCCTCCATCGACTCTCGTCGTTTGTGCCCCGTCGATTTGAGATAGGGCAAGTTACTTCGGATCACAGGCGAGGTTTCCAGTTCCAGTTGGTGGGTGCCCTCGCGGCTTGGACGTGGTGGTGTTTGTGGTACTTTGGGAGCCTCGACTCTGGTGACTGATAAAGACCTTACTCGTTGCAACTTGGAGAGCTCACGCTCCACTTCCTCGACTTCCTCCCTTGCCTCATCGATGTCAATCTCTGGGTTCTTGGACGGACCGTCTCTGGGCGGACTGCAGTCAACTTGCGAATCCTGCTGGGAAGGACGGTCTGGATGATCATCGTTACTGCTGGAAGTCGTCTGTCGACTACCTTGGCCTTGGACTGTTTGAATTGTAGCTGAACCGAGCCCAAGTGATCTTCTTGGTAAGCCTGATCTCTGTGTCTTTGAAGCTGATCGCTCCGCTGAGCGGCTTTCGGGACTAGTCGGGGTCGGAGCCGCGGAGAAGAGAGGGAGTCGAGGTTGAGAGGGGCTAGGTTGTCTCATGCGACTGAATTTGGAAGAATTGATGATCCCAGGGGAATAGGAGGACAAAGACGTAGGAGTAGAGCCCCGGCTCCAGATGCTGGGAGCGCCTGGAGATTCCGAGTAACGAGTTGATGGAGTACCCGCAGAGGGGTAGTGAGTTGTCGTTGAAGGAGGAGCGCTGTGTTTGTCGACATTTGTGCGAAGGCTTGCCAGTTCGATGGGTTCTTGTATCTTTGGGCGTTGTCGCTGATGATCTTCCGCGCTCTCTTTCTTGCTTTGGTATCGAGAGGCTCCCTTGGCTTGAGTGTCTACGGGAGTTGATCTTTGAACGCCTCCCGACTTGATTGGTAGGGTGGACGATGGGATTACCAGGCTGAGTTTCTGCGATTGACCCTGGTCCAAATAGGTTCCGATTGTCGGTGCCTTGCGGCGTAGAACATTACGTGCTCGCTTTGGCGTAGCAGTCCCGGTCAATGGCTGCTGGCTCGAGGGGTACAGGGACGAAGGCGTCGTGCCAGGACTGGACAGAGACGAAGGCATCGACGATGCCGGGGTGAGCGGAGAGACAGTTGATGCTGGAGAGGAAATCGATCTTGCGCCTTCGAGACTCGGACGTGGTAAGGATGACATTCTCTGACCAGAGTTCGGTATCGGACGAGTGAGTGGAGGTAGGGCGGTGATTCCTCCCTGAACATCCTCCGCGGCAGGCCCTCGATCCTTTGTCGTGAGGGAGGCCGTTGAGCTTGCTCGGTGAGGCCTGCCTGGGCGCAAATATTGTGCTGAGACGGAACTGCTGAGGCCCGGTCCTGAGGGTTGCACCGAAGAGAGAAACCCATTGGATGGCGCTCGGCGGCTCATCTGATTGTTGGATGACATGACTTGATAGTCTCCAAAGATGTCGACTCCAGCGTTAGGAGTGTGACGCGAGTGTTGTTATCATCCGTATGAGCTTTTTGCCACTATCGCCCGACGATTTAGCTAATGGTTACGGAACACTGTATCTGGACCTTGTGTGAGCTAGAGTTTCTTGAGAAAGCCTGGAACTGGAAATCTCACATTGGACATGTGATGAGAAGCTTGTTTGGGGCCACGAGCATCGGAGCTTGTCGTTAGTTCATGAAGAAGTCGTCGATGTTGAAAGCTGATCTTCGAGTCCGGTCAATGTTTGTGAATCAGACTGAAGAAGCTGACCTGTCCACGCAGAGAATGGGTAGAAAAGCACACCGACACTGTCGCAATGTAGATATTCTATAGACGGTAATCTCCGGCCACGTGCAATCATCAATCATTCAACTGCCGCGTCATATGACAAAGGAACGTCAATGAGCTTCGCAGAGCAAGGGACAAGAAGCGAGGGGGCATTAAGCATGAGACATGGAACCAAGAGAAAAACGAAGAGCATATGAGATAGATATCACGACGAAAATTCGACACGATGCCACTCGTGCGAGCTGATCAACCCGCACTGGCGGGAGAGCTGCAGCTGCTTCGCCACAGACTGGAGCCGTGTGGCGGCAGCAGAATCTCAGGATTGTCCCACTGGTCTCGGCCACGTCAGAGGCAGGCAAGCCATACAGGTAGGCTTGAACAACGCACCGTGGGCGATGAAGCTGATATACAGCAATCAAATACGGTGAAGAGGAAGAGAGACTCGGAGCCTCCGACTATGAGAGAGTAGATAGTATGGTTGTCGGAAGTAGTTCCTTTTAGATCGACCTTGGGACGAAGCGGGCGTCTCCACATTCAAGAACGTGCTGACTCGAATCGAGACTCCCCCTCCCTTTCTCTTTCTCATTCTCTCTCCCTGTCTCTCTCCCTCTTCTCTCGGTTTCTCCCTTTCTGTTTGTGAGTGGGGGTGGAAGTGATTCCTCCCAACCCAAACGAGGCCTGGTCCGCTCGAATTCTCCGACTGATTTGTCTGGGGCACGTCAAACCGTCGAATTCGACAGAATAGGACGCGACCGGCAGTGGGGCTCCGTTTGTAGAAGAGAGAAAGGCTCGTCGGGAGACGATCATTGGCCGTGGACCCTTGTGACGATGGCCCGTCGAGACTGCATGGGCGCTACTGGGGTCGAGGGGCAGTGAGTCTCCAATGCTCCACTGAACTCCAATGAAGATGCCAGAGCAGAGAAACCAGGGAGAATCTTGCCATTTCTCTTTCCTGCCCTTAAAGTTTGGTCATAGTATCCGTACGGCAGCGACGTCGGTCGGAAGCAAACCCAAAATGATGCCTTGGTGAAGAGAGTACGCCGTTTAGTAGAAGTTTGGAGGTACTTCCGAAGTCTCAAGCTTCCTCGTTCGTGTTTGTGCTCACCCAGTATTCATGGACAGACACGGCTTGTCGTTGGTTCGACTCTCCCCGTCTGCCTTATCCGCGGTTGCGAGTGGCCAGGATGTTTTGTTGTACTGTCGTGGGAATCGGGACGCCGCAGTGGCCGCACCGTCCGCACGGACAGAGAGGGCATATTCTCCAGTTCTGAACTTCCGACGAGTCAGCACTCAGCACTGCGCTCGCACTGCGCTCAAGTGACGACCATCAACTGTTGGATTTGACCCCCAATCCGTCCCGGACGGAGGCGCACACCGCAACGGTGGTCAATTGCAACCGGCTTGAGTCCACTTTGGAACGGAGTTTGAGATACGAATCATCGAGTTCAAGGGACTGCCACGATGCGTACACGGTACAACTCTCCTTGTCCGCCGGAAAGAACTCGTCCTCATTCGTGCCGGTTTGGGTCAACACCGGCGGGCTGCCTGCATTGGCCTGATATCAGCTGATCGACAGTCCTACACTCATCGAGCGTCGTCGAGACTGTGATTTGGTTGCTTTTTCATTGATCTGTGCGGGTACGCCCGGAGGTGAGCGCCCGTAGAGGGAAAGACTTCACCGCGTTGGACGGTCTGGTGCAGTGGCCTGCCTCGTCCAGGTCGCCTCATTTGTAACGGAACAATCGGAGACGCCGAAACGGATGTTGATCGCGGACCCAATCTTGACTATCTACTGTCTCGATCTCAAACCGAGGGAAAAAAAATACTCAATCTAGTTCAAGCTCAATTTATATCGACTCTTCCTCGAGCCACAGCCAGTATTTCTTCTCGGGTATCTTGGTTGTTGAGTAAGCATTTCAATCACCGCTCACATGTACCTCATGATTATGCGGACACTAGTCACTCTTGGACAAAAGCAACCATACTCGAGTGAAAGATCCTGCAGGAACTTTTGCCCCCGACTGCCCTGGTCCACTACAGTACTATCTAGTATCTAGTGTCTAGTGTCTACTACTGGCTAGTTTGTTTCGGGGAACCTTTCAGGGGAACATCATTGTCAAATTGTTCACTCTATCATCGCCATTTTCAGGACTGCCTCAGATCAAATCGTATAGATCATTGACTCGTCCAGGACCCAAGGCAATAGAGCTCATGAGTAATACACCCTTTATTCCTGACCGGAAGTTTGGTACCATCAAAAAGGCCCGTCCCGAGCCCAGTACCGGTCTCAGCTGTGAACCATGGAATGGCCTCCCACAATAGCAACATCATATAATCGAAATGTAGGACCAAACCACCCCATTTGGCAAGTCATTTTCTTAAGTTGGTGACATCGAGCCGCGCGATTGCAATGAGAGATTCGACACAGCTGAGGTTTGATCTTCTGTAGACATGATCTTCTCTCATTCCGGTCGTGGTTTCCAGTTTAGCTTGATTTCACTTCAATTGTCAACTGGAAGATAATTCATGACTCGTTGGCTCAATCTCTCCGAGAATGTCTAAAGTCCTGCCGCCATGGTCAATCAGTTCTACAAGGAGCAACTCCGTACCTACCTCTCCATAATGCAACAACATCGTGATCGGACGATTCCCGTTTTGATCTCTTGCAGCGAGTTCTGGGTCCTTTAGATTGGAAGATAGAAGAGATGTTCCCCGATTCGGCAGCGCCAGAGGCCTGTCTATCACGATCACGAAAATCAAAGCAATATCCGGCTAGTGAAGACTACGACCTGAACTTTGTCGACCTGTAGAATCTAGAGCGCATCAGTGTAGTAGTGTGAAGACTGAAGACTATTTGCTGAGGCCACTCCCAGCAAAGTGATCCACCCATTCTAAAAACAGCAACGAAGGCGTTCCATTCGCCACAACGCCCTCGGTCCCAGTGGAGTCCGGCGCTAAGCAGGGCTGACGGTCCAAGTGCCTCCTGGCAAATGAAATGCCGAGTCGGGCATTTCCACGTCCAGTTGGCTTTCGGAAGGATCTCCAGTGAAAAGGGACGGGGGACACCTTCACCTGCGGAAGGGCGAGCCGGCACGTGCTGTAGAGCCGAGCAGTGAAACCTGGCGTGGGAGTAATGGACTGTTTGCGCGGGATGTTCAGTCTTAGTCTTACCCGAGACATCGTGCTATCGATGTATTGGTTGGACAGCTGTATTCGGATGAAGGGTCAGAGCTTTTTGTAGACTTTCCCGGAAGACGGAGAGAGGGAGGTGCTTTGTGGCTTGGAAAGCCAGCTTCATCTCCAAGACTAATGGTTATTGCCATGCTGCAGGAACCACAGGCTAATGCACAATTCAGCTGACATCTCGAGAGGAGAGCCAAATCAGGCTGGAAGCCTTCTCTTCGTGACTCAGTACAGCAGGCTTCTGGATTGTCGTCTACTGTGAGGTCGCCTCGTCGTCTGACTCAATGTGCCAAGTCTAGAGGACGTTATTATACATTTTGACAATGCGAACCCCCGGACAAATAAAGTACTACTAAGATCACCATGTCTATTGGCATCGGTAGTTCAGCACTGCAGTTGAGTGGCTGAGAAAAGCCGGTGCCAATTTCCGTATCAGGAAAACCCATGTTTAAGCAGTGTTGGTACATGACCCATTGAGGACCTGCCTGGGTCGAGAAAGTTTTTAAAGAAACAGATGAGAAAGAAAAAAGAATTTTGTTTCCAGCGGTATGCCCGCAAATGCCTCGTATTTGTGTTGTGATCGACGCCAGCGTGAAGCAAAAGTAGAAAAACAAATTGGTTGAAATGTGGAAGTCGAAGGAAGGGAGGAGAGCGGATTGATCACCCAGGAAAATCAAAGAGAAAGCAACGGAAGGCCACCTTTAGTTCGCGGCGGCGAAGCGCTTCTTGCGAGCCTCCATCGCTAGGCGGTCCTTTTCATCCCACGACTTCTGCTGCGCTGTTTGTTGTCCGGCCTTGGGAGGGTTGCTTCCGCCATTGCGTTGCTGCGCACCGTCCCCGCGACGATTGCGGTTGCGACCAACATCGCGTCTTTTGTCGCTCCGGCCGCCCTGCTCGTTACGGCCTCGCTTGCGGGATCGCTCATCGGGGAGAGCCTCGTCCAATCCCTTGACGCCAACGCTGGTAGTGGCAGCGGACTCATTCGTAGCAGCAGTACCGAAGCGCTTAGCCCGCTCGACTTGCTTCTGTGCTTCCTTGAGGGCAGTCTCATCATCCTCAACAATGCCGAACTTCTCGGCGCGCTTCTTGCGCTTCTCCAACTCGACCTCAAGTTCAGTTGCGGGAAGGCCACGAGTGTAGTCCACCGCTGGCTTCTGCTCGGCCGCAGTTTCGGTACCAGCTGCGGTGGCAGCAGGCTCGGATGCAGCTGCAGAGTCAACCGCACCGGTCGATTCCACCTTAAGGTCGTGGGTCGTGGCAGGGTCGACGTCAAGTTCTTGGTTAGGAACGGCGACAGGATTGGCTACCGGGCCCTTGCCGCCAGCAGCAATGGCAGCCGCGGAAGCCTCTGTGGAGGGATTGGCAGTCTCGGCAGGTACATCGTCGTCCCAGTCGATCACGTCTTCTGCGACAGCGTCGGGTTTCGCAGTCTCGGTCGAGGTGGGCGCTGGCGCGGGAGCGGGCGCAGGAGCTTCTACTGATTTCTTTCCATCGTCTTCTTGGAGGCGAGCGACAAGATCGGCCTTTTTACCTGTGTGAGGAAGCGATCGGGATTTGAGGATCTCAATCAGCTCAGCGTTGGTTTTCTTGCCGTAATCGGTCGCCATAATGTCGAAAGTGGTCAGGTGGAACGAAGGGTGGTAGGTGGTGTGGAGTTTGCGCCGCGAGAGCGATTGAGCTCAATGGAAAGTCGAAGAGAACGAATGGGTGAACCGATTATCTTTGATGCCAATTCTTTCTCAAGATGGAATTGATGCAAGAGCGTATTGATGAAAAGTGAGAGACGACAGCCTGCCTGTCTCGCGACAGAGGCGCGACCCCAAGCCGCCCAGCTTCGCGTCACCGGTTCACCACCTGATAGTCACGTGGTAGTAAGAGCAGCTCGACAAGATATCTGTGCCTGAGGCATGAATATTTAGTCTGTCGATCATTACTAGCGATTTGACCTCGATTTGCCAAACATCGACTCGTGACAGCTCAGTGTTGTCGGTAAACCTTGTTGACACGTCAAGCGCGTTGATGCATTTGAGTTTCATGATTTAGCATCTAGATCAGGCGATTCGTAACACATTCTTAAACTATCAAGAATTGCTCATCTCCTTTCCTGGGCTGATTCTTTGAGAAACGGCTTGTTATTGATGACCTATTTTAAAGGTCATCGTTGAGTACCGAAAGTCCGTACTGTTGGGAGGTGGCTACAATAGGTGCAGCATCACCATGTGTGAGAGGGATGAGGTGTGAGATTGCTACGGGGGAGAGATTATATCTAGGCTATGGACTACGGTGAGTCGGCAGTATCACATGCCCTACAAACACGTACGATGGCTGAGCTTCACTTTATCAATACACGTCAAACTCTAATGAGGTCAACTGCGATGACAATTGCTCTACAAGATGGTCCTCATTTCAATGCTTCGTGCCGGCTTACCCAAACACGCATGAGCATAGGATCTGAGGAATGAGTCACGAGCGCTGATCGTCTTTCGCAATGATTGATCTGATGAGATTTCGTCGAAAACGGCCCTATATACGGCCTCTATCTTTCCACTCAACCTGTGGCGAGCCGTACATAATCCATACATGAGAACCTCAATATCTGTGTGAAATATAATCATCGTTTTTCACCAATTGAACTATATTGAATTTCGTATGAGAGCTTGGGAGGCCTTATGGAAGCATTCAATCATCCATAAAACCAGTATTCTGCCGCGTACCCTACCAGAATTGTCTCATCCTGTCCAGCGCACGTGGAGGGGGAGACCCTTGGAATGTGACGACTCGGTAAACCTCCTATATGCTTTTGTCAGTTGCGTACTTTTGAACACGAGAAGGATCTCACGGCATGATTCCTACCTTGATGAGATTTCCCTGCTTCCGATCCAGTTTGAGCCACGCCACGTCCTGACCCTTCTCAGGACAAGCATTCTTGACTTTAACTCTCCTTGGTGCCGGAACGGATGCGTCCTTCTTGCTTATGGCCCAAGCATCCGAGCCGCTCATCGTCAGGTTGAACGTTGGCTCACCGGCAGCGTTGAAGTAGTGTTCTCCGAGAATGAGACTAGACGAGTTTGTCATGTCGCCCAGAAGCTCGGTTATCAGAGCAAGCGGGCCAAGCGGCGCTCGGCCCATGATAGAAGGCAGTTCATGAAGCAAACTGAGTGATGTTGCTGCGATACAAGAAGCATCAAAAAGTGTTGCCACAGCCCCGACCGCAACGGGTTTCTCGTCTTTGGTGGCATCTTGAGAAGAAGGCGACGGGGTACAAGAGTAGTTTTGTGTTCCACGACCCAGTGCAATGAATTTCAGGTCCAGGCCTGGAGATGGTGTTGGAAGCGACTTTTTTGTATCGTTTAGCGGCGGAGAGATCCCCGTCAGTGAGCAGTTCCCGAGACTGATACTTTGAAGTTGCTTGGAGGCACTGGAGAATATAGTTGTGAATCTCAGCGGATCTGGAATGGCTGTTGTTGTTTCAACTAGCGAGATAGCCAGCCAGCAAAATAGGTAGTGCACAATTCGCATCGTGAGTGTTGTTTGTGGAAACAACGTGAAGAATTATGGCCTAACGTAAGACAGGTTTGAAAAAGGACTTGGTGAAGAGGAGAAGAACAAATGGTTTTATCGGCGCTTTGATGAGTAGAATTGTGAGAAAACCTTGGTACTAGGTAGTTGATCGAATTTCATAAGCGCAAGCTTGCCTCGTTTTATGATCCAGGTCATTCGGGCTATAGTATGCGTTTCGACTCATGACAAAGAAAAATCACATTAAGTAAAAGAGGTCTGAGGGTTTCTTCCAAGTGCTCGGGCTTGAGGCGTGCCGCAAATTCAACATGGCCTACCACTTTCAACAAGACTCGGGTCGATTTGTCAGATGAATGCCATGCTGTTGGATTACTTTGTACACAATTTTCAGTCTGACGAGCCCATCTTCCTCTACCTCAAAAATGGTATCAGTTCCAATGTTTTACACAAATGGAAGCAGTCCAACAGCAGGAACCGACTACGGCTCGCTATTGACGTTCTTTGTCTTTGAAAATAGTATGCGCTAAGGATGCTCTTCGGAGTGCGAAAACGACCCGTATGCTTGGAAGTTACATTTACCGGCTTGTTTCTGTATAAACACGGGGTCCTTTAATTTTTTCTAAAAATAAATTGCCGATACCAGCATTGGCGGTTGGCTTGCATCTGCAAGTGACGGCGGTTAGAGAGCCGGAGATGGCTGCGCATCCTACAGGACCACATAAAAACGCAACATGAGAGTGGAAGCCCCTGTCCCCTTCGGTTGGGGGCTCAGAAAGCGGGCAGAGGTGTAAATCGCACATATTTGCAAGACATGATTAATTTTCAGCAACCAACCCTGAGCCTTCCGGGGTGCACAATGAGCAGGAATCCCACATTTATTCAAAGATCTCGCAAAGAAGCCCTCGAAGATGATTTCCACGTAACGCATATTGCATTGCAAATATGGATCTCAAAGCGATTTCTGTTTTGTAATACTACGACTTGGGACTTGCACATGCTTTGGAATGGATGAAAAGCGCAAAAACATACATACCCAAGCTCCGCAGCTGTTCTATCAGAAGATCCTTCGATAATGTCTGACCCTGCGTCGGATGCTCAATTCCATCGTAAAGGTATCTAGGGTACATATATTTCTGAAGACAGAGGCTCTTTCTATGTATCAGAAGTACCTTCTCACGTCACGAACAAAGTGAGTCATCCTGCTGCCCAAGTCTGGATGACCGATCGGTGGGTCTCGCTCGGAGAAAGAAGTGTTTTGTTTTCTGCGCAGTATAGATGCTGATGTGAATGCTGCTCGAATCAATGCTTTGACTATTGGCTCAAGTGTATCCAAGTCACCTGATTCAAAGTGAGACACCGCGCTTCGACTGACACTGCAAACCCTTGTTCTTTCCAACGTGTGACTTCAATGGTGCCGCTTCGCTAGGCGAGTACCTATGCATATTGTTGAGCTCTTTGCAAACTTCTCGACCAAAGCCGCCGAGTAAGCGTCCACGATTCTGTCATGGACCAAGGCCAGATTCAAGGAATACCAAATTGATGGAACAGTATTGCTGTCGCAAGCGGGTGATTCTTAAAGCCTGTCCAGACTCAGTGCACATATCTGTGCATATCATGAATTGAAACCCACATATACCGATCGCGTGAGCCCCGGTTTATGTACTCAGAGCTTGGACCTATGCGCACGTGCATTGAATATGTCTTGTGCAAAATATCAAGACGCCGTTATGCAGATTCTGAACTTTGACATGCCGCAACGTTTCATAATTCACGTTTCGCTAGGCGTGTTTTACACCGAAGCACCCTTTGTATCCGCTGAATTAGGGAGGGTTGGCGGTATTCAGCACGAACGTAGCCTTTTCAAGTCCACACGTGGAGGAGTGCGTGCGGTCTCGTGCCTTAACTCATTGACCTCATTGACCGCATATGTTTACAACACGGCTTGGGTATGTTTAACCAAGAGTGGCACGTCCAGCTTCTTCGGGATCTTCGACCCAGCGTCTATCTTTGCAGCTCTCGACTAGCCTGCTCGAACTTTTGTGCCCTTAGTCATCGAAGATTGGTTGTAAGCATAATTTCAAGATCAGCGTGGGGCCTTATCTCGAGGGTGTCCCGGGGGCATGTTCATGTTGAGCACTCGATTTCGCGTGACAGTGATGGTAATATTCTGAAACCTAACCAGGCATGCAATTTTCCCTCGAGCGTTTCGCGTGGTTGCAGTCAATCATCAAAATCTGAAGTGAAAAACTTGTTCATTTTCGGAGAAGCCGGATAGCTCTAGGCTCAGGATCCTCAATTTACGAGGTTTGATCATGAGTCAACTGGCTGGAATGCGCAGCGGGCACTGAGTAGACATGAAAAGGAAAAGAAAAGCAGGCGATGGCGGTGGGAAGTGAAAGGCACAAGAGGGACGCCCAGTGATCATACGTGAATCAAGCCTCCACGTTCAAGTGCTTGACCTCAATCGGTCAACACGTACTCCTCTCTGACGTTGAATTCCTTCAAGTGGGCGGGTAGTAAGGAATGGGAAACATGATAGCCCGAAATGCATGGGCGCTTGATGATCCAATAAAGATGGTGATCCGGCGAGGAGAAGATGGCCAAGGCCCAGCGAGGCAGCATACTGGGGAGGATTCATCTGTTGAGATAGAACAGGCAGAATCTGAGGGAATGCTCTTGCTTCGAACCCAAAAGATGAGAAACCTTCACACCTTGCTCGAAAGATCGCACCTTGACACCATGTTCGTTCATCACAAGAATGACCTCTTTGTCTCTCGAAATCGGGGGTAAGCTGCCGGCAGTAGCTTTATAAAGACACGCAGGTGCATAGATGCTTTGAAAATTGGCCTTGAAGCTTGGCCGAGGTCGTAGATAGGTCTTATTTGATGTCAGGCTCGAGGAGTCCCATATTGCAGAAAGATCGGTAAGTTAGGAAGAGTTTCGGGAATGAGGCTCGTTGCTTCAATTACCACCGTGAGTAGTTTCGAGTACTTAAAGTCATTGTGATGACTGAACGCACTGCATCCGTAACCAGCGGGACCAAGTAGGGTGTAACTTTAGGCGATCTGTGAAAAGAGAGCCTGGTAGAGAGAAGAAGGCAGAAAGCTGCGTATTCGGTTGTCTGGCGGTGACACTCACGTGGATACGACCTAGAACTACTATCTTAATCAATCGGGATCATGCTCTTTCGAACAGACGTGGGCAATATCGCGTCAACCCGACTGTCCATTTTCGCCTTCGAAGACCACTGGTAGATGGATGTAATATGAGCGTCAATTCAGGACTTCAAAATAGAGGGCCATTTGTCAGAACGACGAATGATATTTTGATGTTGGGAACCCCGAGGATGATTGTTAGCTACGGCACTTTGGGGCCGACCAACTGACCTGCTGAAAACGATCAATATCAAATCATCTAGCATCAGGAGGATTCGGGGCGCATATTGACTGCTTGATGGATATGTGAAAAATCTGATAGGTCCCCGATGCCTGAAAAATTGCAGTCCTTCTTGATCGATAAGATTGCATATCATTATGACCTACAGGTTGGACCAGTCATAACGTCAAACTGCTGTCCCGAATATCTAAATGGGTCTTCTCTGGAGGAACATTATGTAGATCGAAGCAGCCAGAGAATCAACTGCAACCAAGCTACGAGTCAAATACAAACTGAGCCCTGCCATGACACGGCAGAAGATGAAGGCTTCCATCTCCTTATAACGTGATCCTCGATCCCATAAGCCACCCAACGGGATGAGCGAGCCACATCAACGCATCAACTTTGAATTCAATTTTCGCAACCCAAATTTCAAATTATTTACATTTGACGATTAGGTCAACAGTTAACGTTATAGTCAAACTCTCTACAGCCACTACACCTCTGCAGACCCCTTGGTGCGCGCGTGGTAGGCGATCCTGCCTGCTGATCATACGGCTGCATCTCGAGACCTTCAACCCTCTCTGGCTGATTTATTGCGTCCAATAGATCAAGAGCCTCCTAAATTGATAGTCATTCTTGGTGTGGGAATTGGCGCCTTGATCTTAATGCTTTTTGCACCTTTCTGGCATTGGCTGCGAGAAGAGCCTCTTTTTCCTTTTGATCGATGCATCCTTGTATTATTACCTCATCATGTCCTTTTATTAGCTTATCTACTACTCTTTTGATCGGAGTAGTAGGTCATAGTCGACTAATAATGCGAAGCTGCCTCTTATCCTGATTAGTAGACCGAGGCGTTTCTGGCTCTATCTGACTTGATCTAGTACCTGGTGTTGATCTTGGCTGCGGCATCGGGGTACGGACCACCGCATTCGCATCTGCGTTAGCTGATGTAACTGATATATTCAACTTTTTAAGGACCTAGCTAGGGTCTAGAGGCATAGTTCCTACAGCCCTCAAGGCTAATTTAACTATATCTGACTTAAGTATAAACCAACTTGGGCAAGCGCCTTAAGGGTAGATCGGCTACGTACCGCAAGCAGTAGATCCACTATATCGCGTAAATGATTAAGCCTAGGGACAGTACCGCGAGAGTCAAGAGAGAGAGCCCATTTAAGATGTATGTTTTACTCATTTTGAGTCATCTTAAATGATTTAGCGCGTATATCAACGCGCGTAGGTCTACCTTCAAGACATTTGGCTAGGGTAGCACGCGGCACTTGATAACATCTTGCGGCTGCGCGAATTGTTGAGATCTGGCTATCCTTATAGACCCCAATCGCGAGGATAAGCCTACCCTCTTGCTCCACCAAATTTGAGCGCCTGTCCTCGCGATTTGAAGGCATGGTGGGTGATTTAAGTTGGAAGGTTGAATGTCTTGGCGCGTTTTGACGCGGCTGGCTCATCCCGTTGGGTCGCTCACAGGATCGGGCATCACGTTATTGGCTAAGACCGTACATCTTAGCGGGGGGCCTCCAAATTTATCATGAATGTTTCAAATGAGACAAGCATGCTGCTTAGTAATTTTGCTTGACTGCTCAGTGGTATGCAGTGTTGACTCACTTCTGTTGAAATGTAAACCATGTTGGGACTCAATGCAAGTTAGTAGTTAAGTTATTGGTGTACTACTATGAAGAGAGCTCGAGGTCACGTGCTGTTTAGTCATCCAAGTGCTGCTGACGGGAGGCGGAACTGGACTGCTAGAGAACGGATCTTCGTAACCGTCCGTACATTTTGCCTCATCGCAGAACATCGACGCATTATCTGCATGCCGTCAATGCAACCGGTCCACGGCTCTCGATCCGAATGTAGCTTCCGCTACTAGACTTACAACATCTCATATCGTTTTCGCAATCACACCCTTCACCATGTCTGACGGTAAGTCGCGTCAACTAACTTTGCGGACGTATTGACGCTAATTGCTTCGAATAGCCGATATCGAGACTGTTCGGCGGCTTCAAGCCGAGCGCAATGCGGCTGCTGCCAAAACAAAAGGTTCTAGGGCCTTTGACCCATCTAGTCAGCGCACTGACAACTCGACCAAGGCCTCCCTGACTGAATCCTTCGATACGACCTTGTTCGATCGCAACGGATCTGACAAATTTGCTGGATACGACACGTCCATCGCGGTGACTGGCGACGATGAAGATGACGACATGGAAGACGCTAACGGCGGCCATCGCTTAGTCGGCCAGTACACCGCTACCCGAAGTCAAATCGATGAGATGGCGCAAGGAAACGGAGTGGAGGAAGAGGACATCCTGCTGGGCCGGGAGAAGGCCGCCCGTATTGCGGACAGGGAGACCGATTACCAGAAAAGAAGATTCAATCGTGGCCCTCTGACACCCACACGTGCCGACCCTTTCGCTGCCAACGCCGATGGACGAGATGAAGCCGAGGGTCAGACATATCGAGAGGTCATGGCACTCCGTGAACTTGAGAAGGAGGAGGAGCGCGTTCAAAAGCTGATTGCTGAGAAACGAGAGCAAGGTCAAGACGTTGTTGAGGAACACCAAGCTACTCTGAAATCCGCGCAAGACGATAGCCCAATGCCAGATGCTGGCGCCACCGCTACCGAGGTGGGCAAGAAGCGAAAGAAGCGTTGGGATGTCGGCGCAGACGAGAACGGGACATCAGAAGAAGCCAAGCCCGCGGAAGTCAAGACCAAGCGCTCCCGTTGGGATGAGGCTCCAGCCCCAGGAGCGCCCGAGGAACCGAAGCGCAGGTCAAGATGGGACCTGGCACCTGCGGCCACACCCGTTGGTAATCAAGGGCTTGCGACGCCCATGCATCCTTCCCAAGCAACTGCTGGGCCCACTCCAGGGTTCCCAGTTGACACGGCTGTACGAGCTGGAGACTGGACCGACGAGGAGCTTGATATGATGTTGCCAACTGAAGGCTACCAGATTCTGGACCCTCCTCCAGGCTACGCTCCTGTTCGGAATATCGCACGCAAGGTGATGGCGACACCGGCGCCACTGGCTGGTGCTGCAGGTGTTGGAGGTTTCATGATGCAGGAACCCGAAAGCGCTCGATCCATGGGCAAGGACCTGCCAACGGACATTCCGGGTGTTGGTGACTTGCAGTTCTTCAAGCCTGAGGACATGGCATACTTTGGCAAGCTCATGGAAGCCGGAGATGAAAGCACCATGACAGTTGAAGAAATGAAAGAGCGCAAGATTATGAGGCTGCTGCTCAAAGTCAAGAATGGCACGCCTCCCATGCGAAAGACTGCGCTACGTCAGCTCACCGACAATGCGCGAAACTTTGGGGCCGGTGCTCTCTTCAACCAGATTTTGCCTTTGCTGATGGAGAAGTCTTTGGAAGATCAAGAGCGTCATTTACTGGTAAAGGTCATTGACCGTGTGCTTTACAAGCTTGACGACCTGGTGCGTCCTTACGTGCACAAGATTTTGGTTGTCATTGAGCCATTGCTCATCGATCAAGACTACTATGCTCGTGTTGAAGGTCGGGAGATCATTTCCAACCTTTCCAAGGCCGCTGGTCTTGCTACGATGATTAGCACCATGCGTCCAGATATCGACCATGTGGATGAGTACGTGCGAAACACGACAGCGCGTGCGTTCGCTGTCGTGGCCTCCGCTCTCGGAATTCCGGCACTTCTGCCTTTCTTGCGGGCAGTGTGCCGTAGTAAGAAATCTTGGCAAGCCCGTCACACTGGTGTGAAGATCGTTCAGCAAATTCCTATTTTGATGGGCTGCGCCATTCTTCCCCACCTCAAGGGACTCGTTGATTGTATTTCAGACAACCTCAGCGATGAGCAAGCTAAGGTACGAACAGTCACGGCTTTGGCTGTTGCTGCGTTAGCCGAGGCTGCCAACCCGTATGGTATCGAAAGTTTCGACGAGATTCTGAATCCCCTCTGGACTGGAGCCAGGAAGCAGCGCGGCAAGGGCCTCGCCGCATTCCTGAAAGCTGTGGGCTACATTATTCCTCTTATGGATGAAGAGTACGCCAACTATTATACCAGTCAGATTATGGAGATTCTCCTTCGAGAATTCGCTTCCCCGGATGAGGAAATGAAGAAGGTGGTGTTGAAAGTCGTGTCACAGTGTTCCAACACCGATGGTGTCACAGCCAACTACCTCAAGGAGAACGTCTTGACGGAATTCTTCAAGAGCTTTTGGGTGCGCCGCATGGCCTTGGATCGCCGAAACTACCGTCAGGTGGTCGACACCACGGTGGACCTGGGCCAAAAGGTCGGTGTGGGGGAGATCCTTGAGCGAATTGTCAACAACTTGAAGGATGAAAGTGAGCCTTACCGCAAGATGACCGTGGAGACTATCGAAAAGTTGGTCGCCTCGCTCGGTGCGGCCGATATCTCGGAGCGGCTGGAGGAACGGCTTATTGATGGCGTGCTCTTCGCCTTCCAGGAACAGTCCATTGAAGACATTGTCATTCTGAACGGATTTGGCACGGTCGTGAATGCGCTCAGCACTCGATGCAAGCCTTACCTTCCACAGATTGTGTCTACCATTCTCTGGCGACTCAACAACAAGTCTGCAACTGTGCGTCAGCAAGCAGCCGATCTCATCTCTCGCATTGCCATGGTTATGAAGCAGTGTGGCGAAGATGCTCTCATGGGTAAATTAGGTATTGTCTTGTATGAATACCTAGGAGAAGAGTACCCCGAAGTCCTGGGTTCGATCTTGGGTGCTTTGCGGTCCATTGTGACTGTGGTGGGTATCAACCAGATGCAGCCACCTATTCGTGACCTCCTACCTCGCCTGACGCCTATTCTTCGTAACCGACACGAAAAGGTGCAAGAGAACACCATTGATCTTGTCGGTCGAATTGCGGACCGTGGGCCCGAATCGGTGAATGCGCGCGAGTGGATGCGTATCTGCTTTGAGCTGCTGGATATGCTCAAGGCCCACAAGAAGGGTATCCGTCGTGCGGCCAACAACACATTCGGCTTCATTGCCAAAGCCATCGGTCCTCAGGACGTTCTGGCCACTCTCCTCAACAACTTGCGCGTCCAGGAACGTCAGTCTCGTGTTTGCACGGCTGTCGCCATTGGTATTGTTGCCGAGACGTGCGCGCCTTTCACGGTTCTCCCGGCCTTGATGAATGAGTACCGTGTCCCGGAACTCAACGTGCAGAATGGTGTTCTCAAGGCGATGTCTTTCCTCTTTGAGTACATTGGAGAGATGGCCAAGGACTATGTGTATGCGGTCACCCCTCTGCTCGAGGACGCTCTGATTGATCGCGATCAAGTTCATCGACAGACCGCTGCCAGTGTGGTGAAACACATTGCGCTCGGTGTCGTTGGCCTTGGCTGTGAGGACGCGATGGTCCACCTTCTCAATCTCGTTTTCCCCAACATCTTTGAAACCAGTCCGCACGTCATTGACCGAATCATCGAGGCCATTGACGCTATTCGCATGGCAGTCGGTACAGGCACTGTCATGAACTATATCTGGGCCGGTCTCTTCCACCCTGCTCGCAAGGTGCGCACGCCTTACTGGCGACTGTACAACGATGCGTATGTGCAAGCGGCCGATTCGATGGTCCCTTACTACCCTGACCTCAAGGCCGATGGGTTGGATCGCTCCGAGTTGGACATCATCGTGTGATGGGAGGAGATGGATGATCTGGATGACTTGGGTGATCTGTGGATTTTGGACCTTTCACTTCTTCACTATGCATAAGTACTTTTTACCCGGGATGAGCACATTTTGCTTTTGTTTTGTTTTTTTTTTTTTTTTTTTTTGCGATTCTTTACTAGCCGGTGTCCTCTGCCATACCAATGTGTTCTTTATGCCATACCTCTCTTCCCTCTGCTTTTTTGTGATGGCTTTGCCAGGATGAACTTGGACGTTCTTTTTTTTGGGCGTCAGTAGTGTACATCAAGATTTCGAAAATTCAAGCATTGTTACGGGTGTCTCATAGACTTGAACTTTTCTCTGATTTATCATCGCCTTCTTTGTGAGTAGAAGTGCAGCACTCGAGGATACAACAGTCCCAGAATGTCTCAGGAGTGAAAGGTGATTTGTATCGTCACAACTCTCGAACCCCGTGGCATCATTGTGTCTCTTAACGGGAATGTTCCGTCCACGACGACGCGTTGTTCCGGATTGCCTTGTGGGTGGTTGGAACCTCTCATTCTCAGACAAGTACCACTCAGGTGCTGCACTTACATTCCAGGCCAAGTATCATGTCAAGCACGACAAAACAAGACTTGCAGGGTCCGGTCCGGTGTTCCAACCCCCACTCCACCACAGCGCCAAGAAACGCAGAAACGCCCTCGATGTTTCTTAAACCCGCCCCCCAACCAGACACAAAGCTCGAACGCTCGGATTATATGGGGACTCTGAGTGATTGATTGGGGGTTTTTTTTTTCGTGCTGTACTTGCCGGATTCGGTTCCTTGGAAGACTTCAAGCTGTACGTTACACGAATAGGAACAGGTGGATGGATCCCCTTTGACTTTCAGGGTTTGGAATCATGGGCGGAAACCCTTGGAAACGAAGGAGGAGAAAACGAATGACGAAGAGAGAAAGAGAGAGTCGGAGCGTGCAAAGGGGTTGGAGACTGGAGACACGGAGAGGAGGAGGGGTCTTGGCGCAGGGTCGAGTGGCCGCGTCAGCTCTTTGCAAAGGTTGTGCCCTTTCTTTTTCTTCTTTGAGATGTTCTGTTGGAAGAGGATATGCGGATTTGGAATTCTGGGTGGACAGAGTCGTGACGGGTGGGGGAGGGGGTGCATGTTGAAGATGGGCAATGAGTGGAGTGGAGTGCAGACTGGAGAGTCCGGGAGAGTCTCGAATAGAATGCGGTCAAAACAATCGGACCGGATCTTAGACTGCGCTTCCAAGTTGAGGACTTGCAAAGATCAACCTGCTACCTACCTATATGGCGATCGTCTGAGGAAATCAATGAATAGTGGAATTGAAAAAAATAATGTCATTCTGTTTTAGCAGTGTGATCGAGGAATTGCTATGAGCTCATTGAATACTCGACCTCTCAAGGTCCGATACAGATTCTACTGTATTCACATGCTCCAAAGAGTCCGACGAGTATGTACCTACGAATGAGATAATCATGTCGATGATTTACTATCTTCAAGTTCATCCTGCGATTTCCAGTTCTGATCTGATAGGTGACATTAATTCTCTCAGGGTCAAGAGGCTGGAACCCACTTCCATACTTTTACCAATAGGACGGGGCTTGGACATTGGATCTGCACTACCGATTGAGGATGCGAGACGACCGTTGAAGATGTGGTACTCCGCGCAGGACACACCACCTTCAGTATAGTATCCATGGAGGCATGTCTCTGGTTTCGAGTTCAAGGAACCTGATCCATGGTTTGGGACTGACATTTTTCCAGCACAGCCGCCCCCGGAAACAAAACAAAAAAAATTTTTCTCTTCTACAGCCAGCTTTCTGGCACACTGGAGCGTCTGGTGTAAGATAACAGACGTTAGGTCGTCGTCGAGTAAGCCAGTGCCAGGGAGCTGCAGCACAAGTACGGCAGGACATGCGCGGATATTCAAGTTGACCCTCTGACAAATGAGAGAGTGGTAGACATTCCAAGATAAAACAAGCACCTCTTCAGGTTGGCAATCGAAAGGTCTTGGCAGTATAACTGATGCATTTATTACTATCAGACCCTACCTAGCTACGTGGTACTCTATTGTTCGACAGTCGATGTGACTACCGGGCTACTACACAATTTCATCCTTTCACCGTACATCAAGCGAGTGTGTCACTGTGTGCTCAGGTACTGTAGTAGACAGTTGACCCAACGCTCTACATGAAACGATCAGGATCTCGCATCGAATCGTAGGCTCGTACCGCGTTGAGATCCATATTCGTCCCTTCTATCGCTTCTTCTGGAAACCTTCCGACCCGGAACACGCCCTCAGCCACCAAGTACGACGTATCACGTACCACATAGTTCATACCATGCGCACCACTGACCACGTCGTACCGTGAGATCCCCCTTCCTTCCCTGGCACCAACGGTGGATCTTTGGCTGTTTCACCTTCACCAGGAGACGTGTGCGATGGAATCCTACGGCACTACAGCAGAATCGATTAAGAGAGGATGGATCGTGGGGCATCGCGCGCGGGGCGGCGGACGCCAGTCAGCACCGAAGCAGAGCGAACGACTTTGCACGAGGGCCCCAAACACCACAAGCCCACTCATCACAACAGGACCTCGCGATAGCCGCGATACCGGATTCAGGACGAAGGAAGATTGAGGCGGCGTCAGCCACAGTGGGACGAGCGGGCTCCCATCTATCGGGCAACCCATCAAGTCGTTGTGTTGGAACACACCTTACAACAAAAAGAAAGAGATCGAAGACACTTGCAGGAATCTTCTCCCAATTCTCATCCACTACCCCCCCCCCCCCCTCTCCCCGAGCGCCATCGGGGTCAAATGGCGTCAGCTGTTCTGCCAAGGGAAGGGATTCTCCATGGAGGTTCCATCTTTATAGGGGACCGGCGTTCGAACGGGTCGGTTGGTTGTGTTCTTCGGAACGTAAGATGGTTGCCAGATCGGTGGTCATTCCGGGGGTCAGTCCTGTTTTGGGAGGTGTCTTTTCGTGGCTGGTGACTTTCTGTCTTTTCTCGATATCTTTGCTTCAAGTCAGTCACTCAGTACCGGTACAAGAGGTGTCCATCTGATAAGAATGGGTGGCGGCGCACAGCCGCACACAGACTGTACACAAGCAAAGTGTACCGAAAGCTGAGATTCCCCCTTGTTGTTCCCCCGGCCCCCCTCCCCGTCTGAATTCTCATTCTCATGGCCAATTTCAGCTCGGATCTCCTCTCTGAGAAGCGTTTGCCATTGCTTTCCATATCTCGCACAAGTGTATATTGAAACAGGAACTACCGTCAGACTGCAAGGTAGACAGGGATAAGTAAGGAAAGGAAAGTGGATCTTCTAGCTGAGTGGAGCAAGATCACTCCTCGATTTGGCGGTGCTCTCGGGAGTCGGGATACTTGGAGGAACGGAACTGCCAGTTGATCATTATTGTCAAATGTCAAATGTCGAATGTCGAATGTCAATGTCAAATGTTAAATGTCAAATATCAAATATCAAATATCAAATATCAAATATCAAATATCAAATATCAAATATCAAATATCAAATATCAAATATCAAATATCAAATATCAAATATCAAATGTCAAATATCAAATATCAAATATCAAATATCAAATATCAAATGTCAAATATCAAATATCAAATATCAAATATCAAATATCAAATATCAAATATCAAACAAAGGTCAAATATCAAAGGTCAAATGTCAATCACAAACTCATCTCTATATATAATCATTCCGGTCTTTTGTGACTGATTCATTCTACGCGTGAGACATGCACAGTAAATCGAAAGCAATCTTGTGAGTATTCACTACACCATGGCTGCGTCTGGCCGTCTACAGATGGACACTCCCACACTCCTAGACTGTACCTTTGTAGAAGTGGTGAAGAATGTCCCAAAGACTCAATCCGAACCCTCTGGAGCTATCATGTCGTGTGCACTAGTGCAGTCCTGCAGCCGATACTGATTATCGCGCCCTGACAGGTAGTCCCGTAGAGTGCAATCTTATCTCTGCGGGACGTTCAGTAGAGAATGTCGTAAGAGGGGGAAGAGTGAAGGTCACAGTGCGTTGAGAAGTCCCTAGTTATGTACTGGAAGATTCAACTGGATCAGATCTAATGGAAGGAAACTAAATCACTTGCAGGATGTGGTCATGGCGAGACCACCAGAGAGTCTCCTTGTTGCCCGCCTACCAGGACAAGGACATCGGCACCATGGCTGATTGCCCCGGTGAATCAAGAGCGTCCTGTGGTTCAATTCCTCCCAGTGCATGAGGACCACGCTATGACTGGAGGACTGGTGAAATGGTATGGTGAACCAGCAGGTTTTCTTCCAAGACCGCGGTTGTATTGGTGTCCGTGCATATTGACATTCATGCATCGATAGCTTCCATCCCGTGCAAGGGGACTTTGACACACGCCCTGCAGCCTCTCCCAGGGATCAAGGATGACTCGTTCAGCGCACCCTCTGGGCAAGAATATGGACTCATGGTCCTGATATATCTCTGTCGCAGCAATGATCATAATCTGTACGCTTGTCCTTGTCTCCTGACACGGCTGAGAGGCGGTAATACCCTTCCTGGGGGTTGGTTTTTTTTTTCTTTTTCTTTTTCTTTTTCTTTTTCTTCCTGGGTGATTCGTCACTCGCGATTTTGAGCTGGTTGTTATTCTGGCCTTGCCAGCCTGACTGCTGGATGACCTCGTTATGATGGGGAATTGTTCCTTCAAGAAGAGAGCGGCAGAGGAGTCTTTGATGACGTCCACATTCTTCATGACCTTGTCCTTCGCAATTTCATCTGTTCTGCTCCCGTTCCGTTCGTCCATGCCTTCTGCGGCTCCTTGGTCGTGAAAGGAATGATGGATCATGGATGATGTTGAGGCTGAACTTTTACGTCGTTCCTCGTCCCATTGTTGCGGGGGCCCCAGTTGAAGCTTCGAGTGACATCTGCCAAGGCTGGCGGTACTCCACCCCCTCTGACCATCAGTAGCGCACAGGGACACTCCGGTACTGTACCTTTGATGACATGGAGTCATGGACATCAAGCACAGAGGCCTGGACCAAGCGGAGCTTGGTGTACTGTAAAAGTAAAATGTAAGCATTTAACATGTACTAGTAGCCTGTCTCTCTAAAAACCTGCTGATTTACGTGATGCCCGGGGGGGGAAGGGGAAAGAAACCCAAACGCTGTTGTGGCCAGCATCCAATGGTTCCATCATTCCATGTCGTAGCTTCGGGTCAGATGGTGTCAGTGGAAAAAGGTTGAAATCATTGGCGGCAATGATACTCGGGAAACGTCAAAGCTCTCTCTCTCTCTCTGTTCCAAGGTCGAGGGGCCTGGGTCGGGTTTCAATAGTGCGGGCCAGAAAATGAAGGCAGACGCCCGTGGTGATGAAGCTGCGGCCTGAGGTCCAGTGGTGGCCCGGGTTTGTCAGCAGCATTTTGTGGGACCGTCTGGTGAAGCCAGGGCGAGGCCTGCTTGGAAAGAGTTCGGGTTCGAACTCCCCAGGCAGGACAACGCACACCGTAAGTTTCGTCCAGGGTCGCGACACAAAAAGAGGAAATGGCCCTCCCAAAGCTTAAATCAGAACTCACGGGAGAGAGCCCGAGCAGTGGGAGAAGGAGTCACGGGACCCCCTCCCAAAGGGCCAGTTCCAGAACATCGGAGGGGAGGGCATAATAGTAGTATCACTAACCTATCCACTGAACATTCAACAGTCAGCACTCAACACGAGTCACATACTACGACTAGTTGCGTTAACTGACTCCTTCAGTCCTTCTACAAGTAGTCAGCGACACGGGATGCGGAGAAAAAGAGTCCCTCGCTCTGTACGCTGCACACGGCAACCTCTCAGCGGGAAGATGAGAGCGCCACCACGACGCTAAAAGACTCTGGTGGCGGGGGTCGGTCATCAAGCAAGCCACCCAAATGCCCTGTCTGCCTCCTCTGGGTAAAAACCATCCGGAGCTGGGGGCCACCACCCAGTAGGGCCCCGTACTAGAGGGGAGAGGGCCGGCCTTTTCGACCTTGGATATCAGGGTTTGTTCGGTTTGTAGCGGAGTTCCAGGAGAGTGGGAGCACTTGGCGCGAGCAAACAAGGCGATTAGGGAGTGCTAGGATGGAGAGAGAGAGAGAGGGTGTCTCGAGGGAGGGTATCGGCAGGAGATAGGTACAGACTACATGTCTATAGACTACGGACTGCGGTGTCACGGACTCACGGAAAGGTATCAGTGTACGGGAACTACAAACATGGGGAAGTACCTTGATCTCGAAGAGGCAATCGTCACCTACAGTTACAACTTACTAGCAGCTGAGCGGGGATGGCAAGGCTAGAATGGCCAAATAAGAAATCACCGCTTTCTATCTACTCCAACTGACCGGCTCGTTCACCATCGAATTGGCGAGCACGACGAATACTGTGCGAGCTGTCAGTAGAGGAACAGACATGTATTCCAGAAGATAACTACAGTAGTTAGTAGTACTAGTTACTAGTTAGATACAGTAGTTCGACTTCGACACGGTATCCGATACAGTAGCATTCCCTCTGCATAGTATTCCGAGTACTAAGTAGTAAGTCCTAGCGAAATAGTCAGTCACTAGAATCAGTAGTCACTGACAATAAACTGAATAGTGTACTAAGTTACTACTCAACAGTCAGTAGACTCAGTACTAGTATAGAATCAGTAGTCACTGACAATAAACTGAATAGTGAGTACTAAGTTACTACTCAACAGTCAGTAGACTCAGTACTAGTTAGTAGTGACTCCAGTGAGTCAACATGACAAACTGTCAAGGGAAGCTTGCGTGTCGTTTGCTCCACGCTTCAATCGGAATTCCCCACTGAATCAGCCCCATTACCCAAATAAAGGATGGTTGCTTATGGCCATGTGTTCACTCTCAATTCAGGGGGGGGGGGGGAATTGAACAGGTAGATAATGTCCGCACCGGTGATTATTGGCTGGATTGGGTCGATGATCGTCCGCGAGAGGGGGGGGGGGGCAACGGACAAAAATGTTCAAGATCTTAAAGACCCAAAATTGAAAGGGATCTTCAAGATAGGCGATCATTCCCCAGAGGATAAACCTTAAAACGGGGAAAGGTATGTCTAGGGGGGGGGGGGGGGTGCAAGGGTTCTGATATCCCGCTAGACTACTCCCGGTAGTAAAGTTCCTACTGTATATTAATTCACCAGGATCGAGCTGTTTGGCCACTGTGGCAGGATGGGAAAACGTCGGGGAATCACAAGGTATAACCCGGAACCGCTAGACAGACCAGATAAGATCGAAATGACAGCCGGGACTCCGAGTCGTCTCACGCCGTCGACAGTGTGGGGAACATGCTGGAAAAGCAATTCCCAGGTGTACCTGTGAGGACCAGTCCAATCAACAGAGCAGAAGTTCCAGGGAAAAATATCCATGGTTGTACCTGGGAATACCTGACTTCCTGATCCTCTACTTGAGGGAGAGACCGGAACTGTAAATGATGGTGACCCGTTACCTAGCATGGAGAACAGAACCAGTGCATTCAGGCACTGAGAGTGGGCACTGGGCAGTGAGCACGCAGCCAAGACCATCCCGAAAACAGACCTTTGATCCGTTCTGTGGAAAAGTCTTACCGGACGTTTCAGATTTGAAGCCTCTGCCATGGATACGACAAACCCTTTTCTTTCTCAGGATTCCAAACAACCCTGGGCGAGTGTGGCAGTGCTGTTAGCGGTGATAGTGGAGCGGTCGGAGGAAGGAAAGTAACCTTTGACGGTTAAGCTCTGGACTGGACAAGTCGCAGCCCGTCGGGATTTCAGAAGGACGTTTCCACTTCGAGAATCCCGAAAGTCCGTCACGACTGTCAGGCGGACGTGGACGCCAAAATGGTCAAACAACCCCATTCTACAATGGGCAAATAACAGGGACCTCTTTCGGGACCTAGCTTCTTTTTAGGGGGAAGAGGAAGCTAGTCCCAAAGAGAGAGGTACGAGCGGGGAGTGCCGCTTTCTCTTTTTTTTTTTTTTTCTTCTTCCCTCTTTTGAATTTACCCGTGGAATGGGACGTTGGACTGATTCGAGGGAAGCGTGACACTTGGGATACCTCCTACGTCACTGGCTTGTGCCAAGCCTTATAGGAGGGGTATCATTGGAGGCGTGTCTGCGGTACAAGAGGTGGTCGAAGTGGGGTTGTGGTGCGCTGTCCTTTGATGTTTTTGTGGTGGCTCACATCCACCGGCGGGATTCTCGACGCATGTTTTGACTTTGACAAGCGTACTCAGTGTAAACTGTAAACTAGGTACTACAGTTACACAGTATAATCCGTCGGGGCTGGAAGGATAGATGATTCGATTGACTAGAATGCCGCGTGATCGTATAGATTCGTAAATCGCATACGCTACATGGATGGGCCATTGTGCGTCCCGTCTATCACGGTCGTGTGGTGGAATATCAATCTTGTGGCTTCAATGGCGGATAGGTACTCCCTAGGTTGTGCATTATCAATCTCTGTGATCGCACAGTCCAAATGTACCTGTAAAATCTTGACAATCAATGTCGATCATTAAGATCAGATCATTCAAGCCACCTGCAGTACTAGATACTAAAGATAGATTGGAAAGCCCCCCCCCCCCATGAGAAATACTAATGTTGCCACCGACCATCTCAACAACATGGATTGATCTCAGTACGCACTGGCGTGATGTCGTGACCTCACATTAGACATTCCAGCAACCGAAGAGGACACAGGTGGGGGGGAACAAGGATACTGCTGGACCAAGACGTTCGTCAGTAGAAGTGACTCCTAGTCTCCTACTGCTATGTGGAAATCGCCACGTCTCCCGTCTTTTTCGACCATTTGCGCTGATGGATCCCAAATTTGATTGTGCATGGCCATGCAGTCGCTGAGAGAATGACGACTGGTCCTGCGCATCACCCACTAAACATATTACATACCCTGACCAAGCCGCATACAACCCGGACTGAGATAGCTCATTACAGTATAGTGCGGGAAATTTCTCGTCGCGCCATCCAGTCGTGCCGTGGGTACTCAGTTGAACTAAGAACAGATTGGATATGACTTTGATGGAATGTAGGTCTCGAAGTGCATGCGCTTCTGCAGTCGGTCACCTTCTCACCCGTCCTGCGTCACTCGAGCCCTGATGGTGCAGGATGCACACACAAGTCCAAGAGGGCCGCGGGACCCTGGGACTTGCAGACTCCGTCCGCGTCACGGGACCCATAAGTGCCGTGCTCGGGCAGGGATGAGGAAGAGGGATCTGCCAAAACTCCCGTCAAATAGTGTTCAGCCAAAGTTCTCCCCGCCCAAGTGTAACCGGGTCCCAATCGGGTGGAGATAACTCCCGAAAAGGGAATCCGCTGTGCAATATACACCAGTACTAGTTCCTCGCACGCGTCAGCTCCTGGCATGATGTAGATAAAGTTATTGGCTGATCTGTCGACGCCAAGCTCGGCTATCGACTATCTGCCGACTGCCGCTTAGCTCGAAACAGTATGTGACGCACTGCTATACTGTTAGTACAAACATTAGGTACTGTAGAGTGTAGAACTCCAGATGGTGGGCTACCTATAGTAGGTACGAGCTACTGTCAGTGTGATAAGGCTTTTTTTTAGCCATAGCCATGGCATGGCCTTGGACCACACAACCTGAACCGCAAGGGTCTGTTATCCCTCGGGTCGACGTTTCCACCAAATGTGTGTATATACGTGCTTGTCGACGCGGGAACGCAGCCATCGAATCCAAGAATGGCGAGAGGGTTTTGCGTGGCTTGGGGCAACCCATCCAGGTCCAAGTGGGGAGGGGGGGTGGTTTTGCACTTGGTTGGCGTGCTATCAGCAGACGACATCCCGTACAATGCAGGCTCCAGGAGATTCACAAAAGCCAAAATGACCCTTGACTGTCTGCACCATGAGATTGCAAAAGTAAGGATTTGGAGTCACTTGGTGGACCACGGTCATGCAGATGCCATGGGACAGGATTGGGATGACTTGGCATGACGATGGAGGGGATCAGGACATGCTCCGAAAGTCCGGTGTCGGTATCGGGATTGATTCTGGTAAAGACTCTGAAGAGTAATGGATGATAGTAGCACCGCAGTAATAGTAGTAAGTACGGATGGATTTGTGAAGAATGATCCATTTTGAATGTAACGGTAGACCCAGATGCGTTGACCTACACATCGGAATTACATTTCTCCTCACGTGTCCCTCGCCTTCCCCCTCACAGAGTCGCGCACACATTCTGCGAATCGACTCACGTAGTATTTACTACAATTTGTGTGAGACGAGATTCACACAAGAATACCATCCTACGATGTTTTATTCCCTTTCCACATATTTCAAAAACGGATGAACACCAGGTACTGACATAGCTAGACCACGGTCCCCATCCGACAGTTGAAGTCGACTCGATCACTTGCACCTCATATGGATGGATTTCACAGGATAAAGGGCGCCGTGGTGGAGTCGGCGCCCGACGGAGTCGGAGTGACCCACTCACAAATGGAGTGGCTATTGGCCAGAACAGAGATTCATTCCATCTCCACCGTGATGAAGCACGAGACATATCACGTCCACCATCGGGATGAATTATCCAAATTGCCCTATTGGACAGACCATCCGGGTGAGAGAGAAGGAAAAAGCCCCGTTTCAGATGTGCCCTGTGGTTAGCAACTTAGCAGTACCTTAGGTCAGTGGCCTTCCGCAGCAAGTGATCACGGAGACCTTCCAGGTGAAGAATCAAGAGCGCGCTCGAAGGGGATAGTCCTCCGTCATTGAGCAGCAACACGGCCAGTCTGATCGAGGACCGTTGAGAGAAGAAAATGAGACACTACTCCTCCTCCTCCTCTTCTGGGACATTTTGAAAGGGAAGAAGGCGATCAGGGACCCTGGAAAAGGGAGCGCTGGATCCAGCATTCTTCAGTGCGACTCCAATACCCAAATGTTCGAGAATGTCTCAAAGGAGACCGGACGGCTGGCGAATCGAAGAACATACAGTATTCAATTATCTATGCATAACTGCAGACACTTACACATGTATGTAGTATGCACTGCATACTATGCAGTAGTACATATGCAGGTAATATGTATGCACTATGCAGTATGCACTGATGCAGGAATCTCTCTCCAATACCATACCTTTTGCCGGTCCCGGTCTCATCAAAACAGGATGATACCAGAGTACCGAGGAGTCGAGGACACGGATTATGCAGGATACAGGCTCCTCAACAATGTCTGGACTTTCGCTGCACATTATCTATTCGTCATTGCGACAAGCGCAGCACTTTCCCCCGCATATGTGGTCAAGTTCACGGAAGCCGCATTCATTACCCAAGTCGGAATGTCATATCAATCTCAAACGGGGGATGCGCGCAAAGTCGTCTGGAGCCTTTCGACTGAAGAGGATTATCGCGGACGATCTGCCGCAGTGGACACTGCCAAGCGCAGAGCCCCCGGTCGGATGTGCGTTCCTTACCAAGGTACTACATTAGTACATAGTCATACTAGTCTATTAGTCCTACACTTACAGTACTATCAGAAGAATACTGGGACCGACTGGATCTCAGATGAGACATTTCGAACCTCGGTGATTCTTTCCTTTGGCGCCGAAAAATCCGAAGAGAATCCACGAAAGTTCCAGGCCCATCAATGTTCTCGTCCTTTGCATCTCGCATTCGTGATGTGAAATGGAAAATGCACGAGACAGCCCTGATCCACCGGTACGGGTATGGTCATGGGAATACGTGAATATGACAATTCATCCGAGAAATACCCGCGGGACTCGAAGCAGAAAAGAGGCCCAAGAAACAAGTTGATGCCTTACTCACGTTGCGGGTCCGCCGATGTAACATCATCACCCTTGGGCGGCCCGGACAATTGGTGGAAGTCCAGATTTGGCAGCGCCGTCGACTTGGTGCTGTTCGATGGGACTCAAGCCATTCACGGGTTTCTCCCCGGATTACTTTCGCAGGAGTTGAAAACGAGGGGATAGAAAGTTATTTTCTTTCTCCAAGACTACCGAGGCTACCGACAAATGACGCCTTTCCACCGTGTGATTCACGATCGAGCTAGCTAATCACGTGTGCCTTGGACTTTGTACTACAATGCGAATTGATATGAGCTTTAGATTGGACTAACTCTTTCTTGACCGCCTCTCTGCCGATGGATGAATTTGAGTTCCTGCTAGTCATGCGGTTGGGCTCCATCCACCCCCACCCTTTCTTTTTTTTTTTTTTTTTTTTTTTTTTTTTTTTTTCAAAAGCGCGTTCCTCGGGAAACTCGAGTGGATGGGCATTGGGGAGAGTGGCCGAGTCAGTTCACAGTTCAACAGCCGGCATTCCGGAGGCGCTTGATGCGCTTGTCTCCTTTCAGGCAAAACGCACAACGAGTGAATCCCGCTGCAACACTGTGGAGTGTGGACTCGGGAGTGAGGAGGACCATGCATGGCCCTGGAGACTCGAAGGAGACTAGAGGCATTGAAAGGACTGAAGTTGCTGTTTTGCTTTGACCATGGACCAGTCGTCTCTGTTCCACTCATCAAGGTTGAATTTTGTCATGGGGGTGAGTTCTGAGTCTTGCATCTAGACATTTGTGTAGTCGTAAGAGCCTAACCGGTGCAGTTTGGAGGATAGTATCCTCATGACTACTACGGTACTACTGGTAAATCCACCTACTGTAGGGGTAAGTTAAATGGTGTGTGACCTGAGGCGAATTGTGTCCGAGTACATTCCAACAGGCATTTGCCAAGCCTTGGAAGGAGTGATAGGTTTATGCTGATCCAATGGATGTCAATATCTCGACATTGAATAAGTACGATGAGGTGCTTCCCCAAATTCAATCGAATCCGAATTTTTTTTCAAAGCCTCCAGCTGGTTCCGACAACCCCTGTGTTTTGTAGATAGAAAACCACATTATCCATAGGTATACCTATATATTTCGAAGCTCGATGAATAATCCTTTCCATGGAAACCGCCCTCGACTGGGACTGTGGTTATTCAGAGCTCGCTGTGACTTGATCTTTTTCTCAAAGTGTTCAATGTTGTTCATTTCTTCCATTTCCGAATCTGGTTCTTAAAAGTCCATCAATAATCTGGTCTCTTGAGTAGGTAGTCTCCACCGCTCCCGTGCGAGCTTCAAGCTTAGGCCTCTTCTGTCCACGGTGGAGCCCCGCTCTCCAAAAGGGATCAAAAGGTACAAAGGTAGTCAAAGTAGTCGACTTAGTTCCAGTAGTACAGCAGTAGTTGCGCCATATGTTCACTGCCCAATGCTCACTGCCCACTGCATGGAAAAGTTCTTCTCATCGCGCCAAAACCCACACTAAAAGTACCTTGGAACAATCTCTCGGTCGGCACTCACGGATCATCTAATTAAACCCCAGTTTTTTTTTTACTTTTTTTTTGGCTTTTCATTTCCCATCCGATGGTGTTTGGGGTTAGATCAACTCTAGTTCGACAGTAGTCCGATGTATGATTATCCGGCTCACTCCGGACAAGAGATCTTGGCCGAATGAATTTGTATGTACGTACATTACTGTATATGCCACATACTTACATGGATGGGGCTTGACAACGGTCGGGTCCAATTGTGAGACATGTGTGATGGCCAGCCCATGTCTCTTTTTTGATTCTTTTTTTTGGGGGGGTTTTCTTTACAGGCATTTTATACTTTTGACAAGTAAAAGAGAATGTTGTGTGTGTAACTGTGTATTGAATGCTCGATCTCCAGACTTCAGACTCCAGAATTCAGTGTACCAGACCTAAGCATGGCCGATCTTGACATCAATAAAGCATGACAGCGACTGCAACATCAATAGTTGATCGGAGATGGAATCAACTGTTTCAGGATAAGATGGATGAACCGAACCCGCCCCCTTTTCCACTCATGACTCGATCCGTTCCAGGAGGATTCTCCACGAGGCAAGAGAAGAATGGAATCACGCGCTTGGAAGACAGAAACGGGTAGTCAACCTGCTACCTAGTCCTATGCATTGTAAATGGTCAAGTCGTCCCCGGTAGAAGCCGCCTCCATGGCGATCTTGGCCATTGGAAGTGGATCACATCATCACAGAGGCCACCCAAGGCACGGAGAATCATCAGGTGGGACCTACCTCCAACTCAGGACCTCCAGGGCCAACGTGAAGTCGAAAGAGGAGGGGGACAGCGAGATGTGGCTGGACTGTAGTGGAGCGGCTAAATCTTAAGAAGCCATATAGGGTAGTGCTGTAGTAATTGAAGGCATGAAATTCCAGATGCAGGTGGATGCATGTCCGTGGGAGACCATATTCCACTCGGTTGTACCTGACTAGTTTTGGTCCCAATGTCACATTTATAACATCCATTGCTAAATGAGACGATGCGGTCACTGTTGTAAAGAGCGACGCAAGGGAAATAAGAGCTGAATATATAGCCCACGTTTGGATGTGCTTCCATTGCCCGATTCCAAACGACATGTACGTTTGAATAGTCGAAAGTCGAATGCCATATTATATAGACCTTGAAAAACACACATAGGCACGAGGCCGTCTCCATGGCTCTGGCTTTGAGTCCACAATTGACCTGAACCTGAGCCCTGGTCGCGGACATTTATCGGGATGATCACTGATCGATGATCAATTTTGATATGATCATGCATCCATGATATTCCGCCCCCGCCAGGTGATCACTGCCACCCGACTCATTGGGACGTGTGTACCAACCATATTCATTGATGATTGGAAGTGAAGTGAAATATATACAGGTACTACATAAAGGGAATTACTACCCCTGTAGTCTGTACTCGTCCATCGACCCCGTGATCTGCAACACTCATACTGTAGATAGGTAGTCATCGTACTACAGTAGTGGCGAATCTGTCGAGTCGTCCTCCGTCAAGACCCAATTTAAGCCGGGCCCGACAGTTTGGGGCCGCTCCATCCATGTGACAAACCCCAACCATCAAGAACAAAAGTGTTCACACTTCACAGAACAGGGATAACCGCCAAGCACAGGGCACTTGAGCAACGGTGGCACTGTTCCCCCTGATTATGGAATGCTCGTCGGGTAATCGCCAGTCAAATTATTTGCGCCTGGCACGGTGCATCTCCGAAACAGATTTGATTGACATGCGGAGACTGACGTGCACAGTCCGGAAATCCCCCGGGCTACACTTTCCATGTATTGTGGTGCTCTAGATTCTATACCGCACAGGGCACACTCGGGCGAGAGATACGAATCAAGGACACAAATGGTAATGGCTGGGATCATGATGTATTTCTGTGCTGGAAGACTTCAGTGCAATCTTGACGCCACCTCTACAATCAGGTACACTGCCAAGACCTGTGAACGCATCAGTGACTACGGTCGACGTTGACAAGTACCAAGTTACTTACTACATAAGGTAGTACAACTACACACGATACACGATACACGATACACAGATACCCAGTGAGGATCTCAAAACTGAGCATCAACCAAAACTACGCCATTGACGGTTCCACCGACAAGACCACATGTACGCACCACCTTCAACCCTGTAACCCTAGAGTACCGCTCGTCCGGGAGACTCCTTTTTGAAGCATCTGTATACCCAGGTGAGACCCTCGATCGAGCATCCGCACGGAACCGCAAATCCCTCCATGTGTTCGGATCCGCAGCATCCAAAAACAAGAAAAAGAATCACCCGCAGTCGAGAGCTCTGTACTCTGTCAAGATCGTCGGGTTTCCTCGTTGAGGATCATCCTTGAACGGATCATGTGGCATTCAGGTCCAGTCCACATCCCACACTACTGTCAATAGATTCATATCAAACCGCATCGCTTCCCCACTCGGTGCAGGGACTGGTGGAAGAAAGCCACGTTTTGCGGCTACGTGTCAATCGCACGCCTTATTTGATATGGCATCCATTGCGCCGGTGCGATGATCATCATGATCATAAGTTGGTGGTGCTTCACTGCCGGAGAATAAGAAGAGGATCCCCGAGGCTCAAACTCCGCCGCGTCTCCAGCGGCTTGCTCTACCCAATCAGAAGCGTTTCCTTCCGAGCGCGGGCAATTCGTGGGTGAAGGATCGACCCGATCTCAATTGGCAGCATGGACCCAGAGATGTACAGTTTCAAGTTTTGGATCTAAGCCCTTCCGACCTGGTCGAGGGTGAACTAGTCCGTCACTGCGTATGCCTTGGGGGAAAAATCCGGCTAGAGGTGCCTGAGTCGTGCAAACGTTCAGGTTTTGGTGGAGCAACAGTCCAATCTGATTCAGGGCGCGATAACGTGTTCGACCAGCAGACCGTGGTACACCACTTTAAGCATGTGAAAGCGAGGGAGAGACTCGAAGAGCAAAGAGGGAGCTTTGGATTGCAGTCACTATCCAATCAATCGGCGTGCCCCATGCAATCCGCACGGCGCAGCCACTCACACCTTTCAGCAAGGACCCCCGTTCCAATTCTCCTGCAGATCCACGGGAAGCACCGAGCACATATACCACTTTGGGTGTCATTTCGCCGGTTCCGCTGGAGCCAGTCTCTCGGGTTCTCTGGTTCTCGTCAAATGGTGACTAGTCACAAACTTCTGACTTTTGGAGCTGAGAGCTCAGAGCACTGAGCAGCGTCACTGATTTTCATTTCATTTCATTTTTTTTTTTTTGTTTTTCCAGAAATTCCATCGAAAATCATGACCACGGCACCCGTGGCGTGTGGGTGGAGATGCGGAGCA